CGTGCCCTTATGACACCGATTCTGCGATCATCTAATTCACAAAAGTGTTGCTTATCACTCAACCATTGTGTCTTTTTTCCTATATTTTCGAGGAGATAACTTCAATTTCTTGATACTATCGGTACTTGATACTATTGATTCATGCAAGTTTTAAGAGTACTTTTTAACGTTATTAACAACCGGTCATATCTCATTGCTGAATGACGGAAACCGATTTTTTTGCATTTCATTCGTCATCTTTTTATGCGAAGATAAATCACCCATACAGCGATGAAATGCCGATGTACGACTCTTCGCTGTGGCTTTGATCCAACATTTTTTTTGAGGAAGAAGAGCTTGAAAGAAGTTTACTGGATTAAGAATTATGTCAACCACGCTGCTTCAAGAATTCTTTGAAACTCTGGCCCTCGTTCCGATGTTTCAATCAGGTGAAATAGAAAGCTAGGCAACTGCTATGTACCACATTGTCATCTCTGCTTTTCTACAGCTGATGTACACCAGTAGAAAAGATGTCACAACAGAGGTTGCAGCAAAATTTATCCATTTAATTACTACAAATCGTATCTAAACAACAAATGCCCAAGTCATGCCCATTACACAATTCTTCAAAAACTCTTCAAAATTTTCTGTCTGAAAAAGATTCTTGTCTAAAGAGCTACGATACGCTAAAAGGTTATCCAACTCAAAGCATCCTGCGAAGTCAGTAAAAATGTGTACCATGGGGTGACATTTCGTAACTCTCGAGACTAGCACAAGAAACAAAAAAAACTTTCGGAGCCAGTCAGAGTCGTGTGCCTTCGCGCAATTCATCAATCCAATTTATGTCAGAACATTCGACTTTACAACCCCTGTGGTTCAGGAACTTTGTCAGCTTCTACATGCACTTTGGTCTCAGACTCTTGTACTCATATTTATTGACTTGCTTGGAGCTGATAACAAACCGACCATCTTTTAGTCGCGTGTCTCATAGTAGAGTTCATTCTGCAAAATTCACTTCTTCTTGGTTTTTCAGATGAAAAGCACTTGCTTAGAGCAAAATTCAGCTTTCTATGTTTATGAAATGACATGCACTCGAAACTGAGCAGACTCAGCGCCACTGATCAAAAAAGTTAGGCATGCGGCTTATGAATCATAAATTAGCAGTAGCTTTGATTTTCCTCTTCATGAATTATTCATTCCAGTTCAAAAATCAATTCCGACGCTGAATTTAGCTAAGATCAGGCATTTATGACGATGCCACATGTGTGTAAACGATCGCGCGACGATTTCCCGATATTTAATGGCAAACAACGAAATGCCGCTCAAGAAATAAGCTACGAAGTTCTTGCGAAACGTCAGATTATCGAGTGATCAGTCAGACTCGTTCAAAGAAAGAGTTTCTATTGTTGACTTTATTGCGTGTGGTTTGGCGGAATCTGCGCGCTGTACATTTCGCTTACACTTTTATGTACAGTACTATGTGTGCGCGACAATTACATGTGCCAAGAGGAAAGATCATATTCTTTTTTGTCCCCAAAAAAATTTTTTTGACGGAAAGATGAAATCAAAAGATTCGGCGTACACAACACCGGCGAGAAATTTCAGTCACTACTAAGTATAGTTAGCACTGAATATTCGTGTTCGAATAATTTATTCGAAATATTCGACAATTCGAATATTCGAATAGTCGAATATTTGAGAAAGTCCATTTATTCGATTATTCGAATAGTCGAATAAATGAGAAAGGCCTATATTCGAATAATTCGTTCATTCGACGATTTCGAAAAATGACTTATTCGAATATTCGTTCATTCGACGAGTTTTAAATAAAGGTTATTCGAATATTCATTCATTCGAGTAGTTTTGAAAGATAGTTATTCGAATATTCGAATATTGCATTTAAATATTCGAATATTATTCGAACATTTATTCGAAATTAGTCGAATATTCGATCAAGTTCGGTTATTGGAGTATTCGTTCATTCGAATTTTGGAATGTGCCAATATTCGAATATTCAAATTCGAATAAAATGAAAATCGAAAGTCGAATAATATTCGTTCGTTCGAAAAAATTTCGAAAAACAAATATTCGATATTCATTCGTTCGAAAAATTTTCGGAACTCAATCATTCGATATTCATTCGTTCGAAAAGTTTTGAAAATTGATTATTCGATATTCGTTCATTCGGCGAAAATTTTTGTTCGCTACAACTATACTACTAAGGAGCTTCACCAGCTGGCGTATTCCCCCTCCGCATTTTCTCTTGTAATGAATGTCGTCTCATGACGCGCCGCGAGAGTAGGCGCATTATACGCATTTTCTGCAATGGCAGATAATGCAGATAATGCTTTCTGATTTTCGCGCACCGATAACGCTCGATAATGCTCATTCCATTCTGTTCGAACAATCTACTCGTGTTGCCTTATCATCCTTTCACACTTGCGTTTAGTCCAAAATTTTGCACACACGGCTACAATGTCAGTTTTAATACGAACGCATGCAAGCAGAAACAAAGATTTATAATAGATTCAAAAATCATTGCAATAACAGCGACTTTCAAGCTCGTTTCAAGCTTGAACAATATTTGGAAACATTCTGATTTCTAGCTATACGCTGCATAATGCTGAAATTTGCGGGTCCAACAATTTGCTTTTCCTCCAAGCTTTTAGCAAAATTCTAAGCACTGTTAAGACATTCGTGTGCAGTGATTCGATATTTTTCAAGGGAATTTCGTATGGCTTTGAAACCAGCTTTCCTGCCATTTATGTGAGAGTACATCATCAATCACTTGTGAAAAATGAAGTGCCTCGTAAATCCCATGCGCAATTTACTCATTGATTGCCCTTTCATGAACTCTTCTAGCAGCCTCTATCTTGTTTTCCAGTTTTTTTGAAAAATAAACTCAGATAGTGATAACGCCTAGAATAAAGAATCTGTTATGATGTACATTCCTGACAAATTTTTGAATGCTTAGTTGAGCTGTGGAGAGATGTTGAAGCTTCTAAGTTGTAATAGAAAGCTGGAACAAAACATAAGCATAGTATGAATTCTGAATGGCATTATGAGAACGGAGCCAGAACGATCCAAACTTTTTTCTCAACACTCCACTGAGATGCGGCTCATACAATATTCAAGGGACTGCATATCAGAAGGGAAACAAAAACCACATTTAATTTGTCATGTGGTAATCCAAGACGCACTCCACATATTTGATTTCAGCTAGAACTGATGATAAAAATTTTTATGAGAGGAGGAGGAAGAATGTTGATCAAAGTGCTAAGCTCAACTTATTCTATCTCTAGTATATTTGGCTAATTACACATTTGTACTGAAAAGCATAGGACTAAAAGTTCGAGTTAAATGAAGGATGTCGCAGTAAGATAATCACTGCAGTTGACCGACATAAATTATGAGATTTGTTCGACCCTTAAAACCCTTTTAGGTTTCTTCCGACTACCTGTGCTATGCAGGCCCAGCTCAAAGTCGATTGCAACAATTCATTTTATATGCCCAGCATTTCTTTTGACTGCGTAGGAGGTGGAAACAAATGCTGCAATTCGCTGGATTTTTTTGTTTAAAATCATATTTCTTGGCTAAATACAATATTGCATTAGCCTTTATCCGGAAGCTGCAAATCCTTTGGACACATCAAGCGATATATCTCATAGTAATGTTATCGTAGAAATTTGGAATCAGTAAGCTTTGAGCCTGTTTTAGTCTGTTTTCTTTCTACTTTTCCACTGGCTTCAGTTCAATTCGTCTAAGTTCAAGTCTTTTTTCTATTTAAATAATCCGCCGGCTAGAATCATTTTGCATTCATTCAAGTTTTTGCTTAAAAACATCATTCATAAACATCGTGTTTATTTCCACATTATTTGCCATAGTGATGACTCAGTTCAGACAAAATGATAGATTTCATCGTCTGCGTAACATCGGTGTACCTCCCATAGAGACATATAGTCATTACTCAACGAGAACATAGAGTCAAGAGCAGCTGAAGCGTCCGTCTACACTTTCTTTCATAATAAACGTCCAGATATCTGGCATCTGATCTGTCATGTAGGAGGATATTACGACCATGTGTTTATTTTTTACTTTCTGAATTTCCAGCAAAGATTGCGTTATATCACAGAATCATACACCCAGACTTTTTTTGCTTAGGACTTTCTCTAATCGAGAATTGCGAAACTTGAGTATTTATTTGTCTTTGCTGAGTTATTAATCGATTTACGGCCAAGGCTCATTCAGTTTGCTCTCCTTTCGAACTCACGAGCGCGAATTTATTTTTAAGATTTTTTGCTAGTAGCCTCATTGAGGAAGGAGGAAGTTGAGGAAGCTTCATTTGGCTTATTCTTGTCTCTCGGCTTTCTCCTTATGAAAATATTATTTGCGCGAATTTTCGCAAGGTGTACAGTAATTGTAAAGAGGTTCATTTTAGTCAAAAGGTTTTTCCTCCAGAATAAAATGGCATTGCAGGGTGGATGAAAAGTAATAAGAATTCTACACCTTATTTTGTAACTACCTCTGAATTAGATAGAATATTAACATTCAAGCGCTCCAGCGTTATCCAGCGCAGTTCTTTTTCTCTTTAAAAGCTATAATTTTCGTATGAATCAGTGAAAGCCAAAATAACTCCAGAACTTTTGGTACAAGATTTCTTACAAATTCTACAATAGAATCAATGTATTTAAAGTCTCCAAATCGTGTCATATCAGGGCGGTAGATGTATGAGTAATTTACGAGATTAAGGTTTGACAGTAATGAGCTTTGCACCCTTCGAATCTTGAAGGTTTAGTGGGATTGATGCAAAATGTTTTCTCGCTCCAGAAATACTCGCGAGAGGATCATACGTACCAAATAGTGATTCTTTTTACTCTCTTCTCATAGGATTGAGTCGGTGGCGGTACTTCCCTTGTACTTTCCGCATCGTTCCTCTTGTCTTCCTTATCGCTCACCTTTTATTGACTTTGTGAGTAGTCGTAACAGCCAATCGATGACACTTCTTCTCTTTTGTGTCCACTACCAGCGCTGTCGTGTGCCTCCTCACATCAACAGCCAAAATGATTCAGATCATGAGCAGCGGGAACGTCTTCGCCCGGGGGCTTTCGCGCATTTCGCGCCGTCGGAAGCGGCGACGGAACCTCGCCGCGGCCCTCGAGCAGGGCCCGAGCGCGGCGTCGAACGCAGCCACGGCTGTCTCAACCGCCGACGTCGAGTGCCTGACGCAGCCCAGCCGACCGTGAGTTCTTCACACCATTATGTTTTTTACATTGTTGTTCCATACACTCGTTACTCTCTCCGGGCCTTGAAGTGGAACCGTTGACTGTTTGCGCAACTCAAACGCCGCTCCTTTCATCTTCTCTTTTTGCCTTCTGTCCGTCTCACTCTCATTTTTCATCGTACAACATATGCCCCCGCACGAAACATCGCTTTAGATAAATGCCTGTAATTGGCGGCGCAAAAAACACCGTGATAATCGCTGACTGAGCGATTCTGACATATTGATCATAGTTTTGCGACGACGCTCGCTCAAAATGTTCTTTGGACAGCCGTTCCAGTGATGAACAGTTATTGTTCTTTGAGATTTGGCTGCTATAAACTAGCGTTTATTAGCAGTTTCAAATTTATTGGTAGTGTAGGACAACAATAACGAAAATAAATACGAAAAAGTCATGAGCTGACGGCATGAACTTTACCGTGTTCATAAATTTCTAGCAATGTCTGCTCAAGAAAACTTTAGGAACAAAAAAAAAGAACCTGAACAATTGGTATAAGGTATTTCACCGTATTTTCTTTTTTACTTCTTTTTTAGATAAGGGTGCTATGTCTCGAAATTTGTGTGTCTCTAGTTTTATTACATGCTCCGGTGCGTATAAAATGAAATTTCAAAGGAAAAAATTGACTAAGTTATCGCTCGCAATTTTTTGGGTTTGATCAATAAAGTTCTTTTCAAACATTCGAGACACTTCACTCAGCTGATGCGTAAGCCCCAGAAATACATATACCATTGATTGTGAACTTGTGTCCGACACTTAGCGACATGACTCATGTACTTTATTTCACCATTTCGTGTCGAAGACTCATCATCTCACGTATGTTTCTTCCAGTATCGAAATCGCTATTCTCACATTATTTTGACTGCCGAGCATATTCAATAACCATATATTGTAGCTTATTCCTCTCTGTATAGATATGATAATGTGAATATATGTAAAGAGAAATTTATCTGCATGCAAGGGCAAAGAATCTCTTTTGAGTTTACTTCTAGGTATCCTCTCAAAATAATCAAATTTTTATACTTGGCTTTGTTTTGAACGCTGTGAATATCTAAGAATCATCTTATACATTTGTTAGGTTGGCTAAAAAATAATTTCGTCTTGGCGTCTCCGCAAATCTCCATTAAAATCAACACTCTTTTATACTACTAGCGAAGGATGTTATCCCCCAATGTGGGTATATCTACAAAAACTCAGCCTTTTGATTTTCTAAGCTTCATGCAGCTGTAAGAGATGTAGAGATGATTAATTTGGTATCCTTAAACACACAAGTTTGCTCTACGTATCTAGCGACCCTACGATCTAGATATCTAATGACCATGAAAATTATGAACTACCATTTTGAAGTTTCTTAACCTAAAAAAGGGAATTTTCTCACATTTGCGCACAACGAGAAGATTGGAGTATCTCAGTTCTTTGCAAATTTTCTTCACAAGGAAAAAGATTCTACTCTGACAGGATTTACATTCCAGTGGTCAAAACGCTCTTTTTAAAGATACCAAACACTGGACAGAAATCTGCACGCAGCATTTCTAGGGGCCGCAAAAGCGACCGAAGTTATTTATCAGCCATTTTAATAGTATCATTGCTAATATTCTTCACTAATTAGCCTTGTGCCGTGGTTTAAGCATTTTGCAGTTTAGAATAATTGAATGCTGAAAGCTTTCGCCTACTGCTCACTAAACAATGAGTGACGTCTGAAGAGAAGCAACATGGCTTGCAAATGTGCAATTTTTAGAACATTAATGCAATTCTTCTTGCAAAAATCTGTCCTCAGCCGATAAGTAGCTCAGCTTTATTTGTCACGCGCAACTCGTCATAGTTTTTTGTCTCGTCTGCTGCAATGCTGTCGATCCATTCCTTGCCTATTCCCTGCTTTTGCATCCTTCAACTGATGTGTCGTCCTTAGGGCGAACAAGGCCACAGGCAACTGGTTTCTGCAACCACCAATTCACTTCTGGTATTCTTTTCTTTGCCGAAGATTCTTTTCTCTGCCGAAATTGTTCCCCAAACCTTCAGTTTGCTTCGTTTCCACTTTCCGTACCGTTAATCCAATGTCTTCGCCGTTTTCAAATAAAGGAAGTGTGAACGAGTGAACAATCTTAGGCTTCCCTTATGCCCTTTTTCGCGCGAATTTTGCGTATACGCTCTCACAGGTTTCTTTTTTTCTTAGGGTTAACTCAAAAAAGGCGAAAAAGCAGACTATTGGCCCAATATTCAAATGCAGTACGTTTCTGTGTCTTCTGTGATTATTATGCAACCATAAAAAAGTATATCCAAATTCAGAAACACAGCTGTATAGCATCAATATTTGTACGGAAGATGTCTCACATATTCCTCCCTTCCTTCCCTTGGGATTTTCCTAGACAGTATGAAAGTGATTAATGAGTCATTGGGTTGTCACACCAGGGAAATTTCAGGAAATTCTTGTTCGCTTTTTTTTCTTCTCTTTTTCGCAATAATTTGGGGAGAGCTGTTCCATGCTGAGTTTGGACATCTTTTTCCGCATGCATTACATACTTGATCTGATACTGAGTCTCTTTGCCATTTTCTACTTTTACTTCGAAGAAGTAGTCTTTTCGAACTTAGATTCTAGGTGGACATTCATTTGTGAAAAATCCTTCGATGTTCTTTTCTGGTACAGAAAAAACAAAATGGCACAATTCATAGCTCAGTAAATCAGATCTCTACCCCAAAAAATCTGCAAACCTCTCACTTTCTCCTGCATGAGGTAGACACATGCAATCATTCATATATTAAGCTAGTGCAAAAGTTCTTTCTCACAAAATTCAAAAATTCATAACTTTTGAATTTCCAACTGATTTGATTGCCTTTATTTTTTTATGAAAGAGTAAGTCATGCTCTTCATAATGACTTCTTAGCTGCTTGCTAATGATCATCTGTTGCATAGATAGGAGCGGAAGGAGAAAATTAGTCAAAATTCGAATTTTCTGTGTAGGGTCATAAAAAATCGGAATTTTGCAACAATAATCGGAGCATTCGGTATTGTAGGTTCTTTCAACAGCTCTTTCTAACAGTGCAAAGTTTGCGCCGATTGAGCATCTTTATGAAAAGTTACAATTTTCCCGAAAAATGCCAAAATAAATCAAATTCGCCTTTTGTATTGCTTGCTCGAAAACCGTAACTTTTCCTAGAGACGCTCAATCGGCGCAATTTGCACTGTTAGAAAGAGCTGCTAAAAGAACCTACAATACCGACTGCTCCGATTTTTGTTGCAAGTTTCCGATTTCTTATGACCTTACACAGAAAATTCGAATTTTGACTAATTTTCTTCTATCGCTCCTATCTATGTAATACATGATCATTAGCAAGCATCTAAGGTGTCATCATAAAGAGCATGACTTACTCTTTCATAAAAAAGTAAGGGCGATCCAATCGGTTGGAAATCTCAGAAGTTATGAATTTTTGAATTTGGTGGGAAAGAACTTTTGCACCAACCTTATATAAACTTGCTGATTTTCTGCACAGTTAAAATTTTAAAAAATGAAAATTGGAAATAGCAAACTTTGCCCCTAGCAGTTCTAGTTCCTCCTGATGAGCTGTGCACTACGAATCTTCAGAACTCCTCCAAAAAAGAGAATTTTTTTCAACCCAATACATTTGCTCCGATTATAGCTTTGCTTGTGATCTCTGAAGCGAGAGAAATGAATAAGGCTGCATCAATCTGTTTAATAATCGATGTTCCGCCTAGAACAACTCCATCTTTCACAATCTACTAAACTTCTTGATATATTACTCCAATTTGTAACTGCAATAATCAATACTTTTTTACAGTAAGACACTGCTGGCTTTGCCTTCTCTAGTCACCGTTAATCAGCCTTTTACACAGCTGGGATGTCTCGTAGCCCCAATCTAAAAGTGCACTTATACTCTTGTATAATTTCACTTTTTGTTCCGCTGCAATGCATCGACCACGACTTCGCTGCACATTTTCCCATTCTTAGTGCAGCGCAATCGCACGGGTTCCACCAGTTCGGCTAGAACCGCAAGCAACTACCTTAGTCTTTTGGCTTTGGCTATCCTGCTCTCCTTTGCAATATGGAGCTAATCGCTCTAAAGCTACAAGACTCTCAATTCTTTTTGCATCGCCACGCTGCACGTTTATGTTTTTCTATCATTTTTTGCTTGCTTCTTGCAGAACAGGTGCAGGGAGGAGACTGAACACCTATTTACACAACTGCTTTACGCATCCAAAAGCCTTGTAGGGTAGCACAAAACTAGCGAAATGTGCAGTGTTTGAATGTCCTTTCTTCAACATATTTATTAGTCACTTTCACTTCTGCAACCATTCCAAACATGGTAGAAATTTGCTTCTGGAATACTCTGTGTTAGTCCTCAATCTCTTATTACAAAAAGGATACTTGGTATCGATGACCATTTGGCACAAGTTATACAACACCATGAAGGTGCACCATGAAACTCTGAAAATCTATGCATACCTGCTGTGATACTCCTCGAAGGCAGTTAAATTTTTTTTCTTTTGAAGTTCACGCGATCGAGAAAAGCAGACATCGTCAGTAAGCCTTTGAATTCGGTTGCGAAATTTCTGAGCTAAATGATGATAACTATTTTTTATGTCATTCTATAGGGCGTAAGTAACAATTTTTTTGAAATCGATGATTCCTGGCATTTCGAATTTTTGTTTTAAAAATGTCTATTACCGGTAGTAAGGAAGATCGACTAAAAATCGGATTTGAAATGTATCAAGTGGTAATGATCTCATCAGGAGTGATCACAGTCACCATCGTGTGGACTTTTTTATCCCAAAGTTATTTTGATTTACAGGGTGACAAAATTTTTCCGTTCGCCGTAGTTTAGTTTACCTGCTCTCTTTTTTTTTCCATAAATCTTTTTTTTGGATGCTCAAAAGTATTTCGATCGTAGTTCTGACCAAAGCCCATCCTTCTCTGGTAGTGAAGCTTTCTTTCAATACTATTATTGAATTTCAGCCAAGAGCTGACTAACAGATCTTGTTACAGATAGAAACGCTTGCAAAACAAGCTGTTTTCCGTTCCTCCTAATTCGTAGCATCCACTTTCAAATCTCTCAAGCAAGTGTAAGTGTGAATTTTCATAGCTCTCCCTTTTTCTCCGTTTCTTTGTGTTTTAGGAGCTGAGGGCTTGATAATGCAGAAATTTATGGCATTGATCTGGCCACACATTTTTGCTTTATTGTGAACAAAACTATGCTATAAAATTTGATCACCCGCTGTGAAGTGGGAGGAATAGCGGGTTTAGTCGACCTAAAAAACTAAAGTCAGTCATAGAAAGCATTACTGTGCGTTTTATTTGCCCATAAATCCTTTTTAATAGATTAGTTGGCCTTGATCCATGGGGTTTTTCAACAGGAACACGAATGCATTATTGCCTGAGAATAATAAAGTTCAATTCTCTTCTATAAATGATTCTGGAAAATGAATGTAATTTCGTCTGGTCTATGATAGAATTGTAAACTTTAGGCATGAAAAGAAGCTTGCAAGACGTATCCCATTTCTCGGTTGAAAAAATGTTCAACTTTTTGTGTACTTACTTAGTTCTTACTGTAATCTTCACTGTAAAACAAAATATTTGTGGACTCGACAATTTAATTTAGCCTTGAAATATAATAGAGACGGGAAATGCGCAATATCTTTGAACTTTGCACGCAATTTTTGACCTTTTATTTTAATTTCCGTTGTCTTTAATTTTTGACATAATGTTCATATATAAAGATTGAAGAAGAAAATTTTGCAGTAAAATCACACAAAAGCGCGTTTAGCTCCTTACTTTTACCTGAGTACTACTAGTTTGGCAAACAGTGTGCTTGTTAACAAGCAAGTTCACGAATTTTCTGACAGTTAGTTGTTAGTTTGAGAGGTTAAATTCTGTTTGGAAGGTTATCATCGGCCAAATAGACTATTTTGAAACGTGCGGAGAAGTCATTGACCGTTTTTAACCAAATTTTTGCGACCAACTTTCCCGCTCTCCTCATCGCAGATGCAGATTTAGCTGTGAAATCAAAAATTCATAAATTTTCAAAATATCTTCACACTTGAGACGGAGCATTAATCCGTAACAAAGAAAAAAGCTGCGATAGAGAATATTTTTGTACAGTCGTATAGGTACATGCGATTCGCTGCCAGAATTTTAATTTCATCAAATATCTCGGACATTTGCAGCGATAATGCATTTCATTTTTCTTCGCTTATGCCCTATCGCTGACGCACTTCGACGCATGATTCATGAGCTTATTCCGTCAACCATGTGTGAAGAATAAATATAGCACTCACTCTTCTTAAGCTTCAGCGAATTGATTTGAAATCGCAAGTTTGACGGGATTCGTAGGAGCGTCTTTTCTTTTCATATCTTCTCTTTCTCAGAACGGTTAAAAATTACATGAAGTCTGTTGAGAGTATTAGGTTGTAGAGAAAGTTCTGCTAATAGAGGTTAAGCTAAATTGTTTTATTTATATCCTTATCATGAGGCTGTCAATAAGCGATGTTTTAGTCATATTTGCTGATAAACTTGCGCAACTGATTATCAGGGCTCCGCACAGGTGGCTAACAAGCAAGCTGGATATCGTTTTTGGTACGAAAAGCAAAGGGGGTTTCGTTTTTGTGACCGAAGAGAGACGCAAAATTGGCGACTTGGCGACGTTTTTTTTAAGTCGACGTTTCAATTTTTGGGGGATTTTGGAAAATTTTTCAGGTTTTTAGAGGAAATTTGGTTGAGGGTCAAAGGGGACTTCGTAAAAATCCCCAAAAGTCAAGGGGGACTTCGTTTTTTCCATTTTCATCTAGCCACCTCGTGCCGAGCCCTGCTGATTATGTTTATCCTGGATGCTCCTTCTGGGAAGTTCGCTGGCTGCGTTCCGAAACAGATGGAGAGCTCAATTTTTACCTTGAAACCAATGAGCTTTCTTGCTTGACAAAAGCCCCAGATACCGGAGGAATTATAGTTGATATTGCTTCATCTAACCGATACAAAGACTACAAAACAGATTTGCAAATCAATCTTCTGCACGTTCTGCGCGTCTATAATCTAAAAAATGTGACTTTTCGCAGACCTAAGCGCAAGTAGTTTTTCTCCTTTTTTGGGCATTTCTTGCTCTATCGTTATTTTTTCAAGCTGAATAGCGTATGTATGCGGTAGCTGAGACCATCGCACATTAAGAACACATCCCAAACCAGCCCCTTGCATTCGCATTCATTTTCAATAATTATGAGAAAATTTGGCAGAAATTTCTTTACAACCTAATACAATGAACTCCAATTTGAAATCCAAAACCAACATGATTTAAGTGGATGTGAATTTGATCTGAATTCCACCTTTTGTGATTTTCAAACTCCATTTCTGACCCGGCCAATCACGGCGACTGATTCTTTGCATATTTTTGGTGATTTCCTGGCTGAGCTTTTGACATAGAATATATAGAAGATGTATCACTTGCTGTCTGTCCTCCTTGTCACTTCGTCAAACTTTTGGCCTTGTGGACTTCATCGATAATGATGTTGCCTTTGAGAATAGGCCATAATTCATCTGAAGCACCAGCTATTCTTCTATGTGCTTTCTTCCAGTGAATGGATGACACATTATCAGACTACTCCAGATGTTTTTTCTCTGTTTTTTCTCCACATCAAAGACTCGAAATGAACGAATTGGAGATTTGCACGGTTGTAAAAGAGTGTGCGCTTTACAAATTTTTTGAATAGCTTTCAAAGTTCCATAGAAAACCTAGTTGAACTTGGCTCATCGACATTTTGTATTCAAAGACACTAAAATCGAACTATAATGCAGAGGAGTTGAAATAATTTACATTCGATTTTCTGGAAACGACAGCCTCTAAGCCACTGCAAAAAGGTTGAAATTAGTAGCTTCTAAGTTTTCGAAAAATTATTCTTCCAATCGTAGGAAGTGAAGACCTTCGCAAGAATTATTAAGATCAGAAAAGAGTAAACTTCGGTCTATACAATGGTTGTTCGCTGCCTAAGCCAAAGTCGATCTTTACAAAATATAAACAGTGGTGGGCTTTACATGAAAGCAAAAATGCGTCGCAAATTTCTGCAATCACTTCATTATTCCCAGCACCAGACTTGGTCCCAGCAAGAGAGATGCATCTTATCTTATTGTTAGATCTTAATTGCTTTTCTGTGAGATTTGGCATCCACTCAAATTTGGTAGACAAAATAGCAAAACTTCCGAATGACCTAATGCAATAGTTGCTCCAGTATTCTTCAGTTTTGTAATTAACTTAAAAGAGTAGCATCTCTATATGTATCATTTTGCCAATTTTGCAACTGCTGTTATGAGCTGCTCAGATAACACACAATTTTTCTCCCACGATAGCACTCTCCCTTTTTCTCCCCTACGTCGTTAAATTATGTGTTTCTTGAGTTCCATCACTGACCATCCCTTGATGCATTGTTTCCTCTCCATCGGTTCATTTATATGCAAATAGGATAAGACGACACTAAGCTCGCCTGGAGCAACCAGTAAATTCGGACAGTTTCGAGAAGTTTTAGGACTTGTTAGCAGCGATCACTTAGTGGGAAAACACGATTTACTCGCAACAACCATATTTTTAGCGTCCAGAAACCTTTGAACGAAGGAAAATATTTATTTTGCTGTAAGATAGGGCACGCTCAGTGCATCCGCACCATAACGCACTTGTGCACGCCTATCGAGAATTGGCGTTGTGAGAATTCACAATGCTGTCGACTGCTTTTGCTTCTCGTTTAATTTCTTTTCCAGTTTTCTTGGCCTTACATTCTTAATTTTTCAAACAGTTGTTTTCATTTTGCAGTCTTTGGCGAGCTCACGGTTCCGAAATTGAGTGGACGAAACATCTCGTTCATTCCTTGTTTTATTGTTTGTTGCTTTTTTTAACTCCATATTTCACACGAAGCAAGAGCTTTGAAGTTTTTTGTTTCAGTTCTTTGCTGGGGCGCTCGATGGACCGACTTCGAAGATCCATTCGGCAATCCTTTCGACGTGGTGGACGGCATAGCCCTGAGACCAGTACTCCCTCCGAACTCGTCACTTCGAATGGATCCAGCGGCCAAAAACAGGAGCAGTGGCAGCCGGACGAAGCTGCCGTGAGGGCAGGACTTTGCCACTTCACTGTGAAGGTAATTACAAGACATTTTTTTTATTCTTCTTGGGACTTTAAAATCTTGTATTTAGTACCTTGGTGCGGTCGAAGTTTATGAGTCACGAGGTATGCAAGTGTGCGAAGGAGCTTTGAAAATGCTTAGGGCAAGTTTTTTTCATTAGTCATGTTTAGCCATCGTTTTGCGTTTTGTTGTGTGAACACCACGCAGCGTGTCACCATGTGCCAGTTCCACCTTGTTATTATCGCATACATTCTCAGGGACACGGGGGAGGGGAGAGGCAAAGAAAATTTTGTTTTATGCGTTGAAGATCGAACAAGTTAGTTAGTGCAACTCCTGATCAACAAAATTGCCTACGGATTAAGAAAAAGAATAATCATTGTGCTGTTCTCGTATGCAAAGAATGCTGAAATCAGTTTTCATTGGTTCTCATTTCTTCGAAGAATTATGACATCTTGGATACGTAGCGCGCACCATTGCCCAAATTCACTTCCGGATAGTATCGGAAATGCGGAAATCGACCTATTGCTGTAGGCTAATGAACGAGCTAACATAATTTGCTTTTTTACCAACATCAACAGCTACCTCGCAGTAAATTTGTTAGAAGGAAGTGCGCGAAAATTGGAAACCGTGTACGCGCTGGGAAGCTGAATAGAAGTTTGCGCCAGTTAATTGTGTGCCAAAAAATCTATATGGCGTCAGAATGATCTGCTGTGGATCAGTCACTCTTTGACATAGGATTTTGGTTCTGCGTTCAGTTACCATGGCTAGGTCTCGAAGATTTACTAGATCTTTACCAATAAATTGATGCATTGTGAGTAATTCTGCATTCTAAACAAGTCATCGCCTTGGTACATCTTCTTAGCCTGTTGTTTAACTTACTCTGTCTTCCCTTTCTCAATTGGGCTCTGCTAGGCGAGTATTGTACTGCATACATCAAATGGTGTCATTGGTTTGCTGTGTTGAAGCGCAGTGCAATTTAGCTTTGAGTCAGCTATGTATTAATCGGCTCAAAGGTTCTTAATGTCAGGTTTCGCGTTTATCTGTTACATGTTTGTAACATAAATTCTTTTTAGGATGTGTACAACAACTTTTTTTCACCATAAGCTTAATCATTGTTCGCTATCATTAAGTTTCGCTTTTGCAGAGCAACAGGCGAAGGCCTATTAAAGCTGTCCTGTACGTATCTGGAGATGGTCTTCGTGTAGTGGATCAAGAAAACAATAGGGGTTTAATTGTGGACCAAACGATTGAAAAGGTACTTTTACTTTGGTTCATTGCCCTTTTGATCACCTATTTCTTTAGGTCTCTTTTTGCGCTCCTGATCGCAACAATGACAAAGGTTTTGCGTACATCTGCAGGGATGGCACTTCTAGGCGGTGGATGTGTCATGGATTCCATGCTACGAAGGAGTCGGTGTGTCACACACAATACGCTTTATTTTTTTTTCCTTAGGCTACACAATCTATTTAGGGCGAGCGCCTCTCTCATGCTGTCGGATGCGCGTTTTCGATTTGCTTAGAGCGAAAGAAAAAACGCGATGAAGAGAATGTGCAGTCGCTGGAAAACGCACTGAATCCTAATTGGGGTGACAAGGAGTAAGTCCGCTTTTGTTCGTGTTGTATCATGGCGTTATCTCCATTTCAGCGATGCTAATGCTGCGTTACAACGAACAAACCAGGCCTATCAATCATTTCGCAAACAAATACCCATTAGCGAAAGACTCCAGGTGATTTCCTTGAGCTATCACTCTACTTTTGCTATCTCAGGTTGTTATTTCAGGATCCACAGTCTGCCATCGTCAACACAGCTCCTCACACCACTTCGCAGCAACCATCATCTAGTATTGCGAAGCCTCGACCAACTCCCAATCCAGCTCTCTTCCAGCGCCAGGTATAGCAGTTTTGTAATCATTGCTAATGCAATTGCTCGGCTCATGCGATGCAAAATGCAGCATGAAAGGTTTTCGTGTGCAAGGCTCTGTGAATGGCCAGACTGCGAAGTCGATAGACTTATACCGAGTCACTTATTAGGTTGGTAAGAAAGTTCTCGGACATTTTTAGATTAAATCTGTTATATCTCGAATTCTAATGCATGTACATGCGCAAAATTTTGCGTTTGTACTCTTAGTTGCCTGTAGCTATAATCTAAGCAAGTGGGAGGAGCCTGGGATTGATGGGGGCGGAGTTTGCCACTTTTAAATTACCTCGTTTTTCTTGTTTTTGAGCTCAAATTTCATCCGAGCTATGCATGTAAGTAATTAAGTATGTGACTATAAAATGGAGCATGTGGGGGATCCATAACTTTTAAGGAAGTTGGAGATCTGGGTTAGGGCAAAAACCTATACTTTAGAATTTTCGCTCGAATTTTCACTGAAAACATTGGTAAAGCATGCGCTTACCATAGCTTTGTAGAGATTGCTTTCCTCTATCCAATGGTCTGCAGCATGCCCAAATTAGTGCTTACATCAAAACAAAAACTTTGTCTAAAGGCAATGTCCGAGAACTTTCTTTCCAACCTAATAGTATTGGAGAGCTGGAAACTAGCCTGGTTTAACCCTTTCGGCAATTTCACTTCCTCCCAACCCCGACTTGTTTCGCGAAAAGAATGATGGTGCAAGTTCCTTTTTCCTTTGGGCCACTTTCGTACCCCAGAGAATGCTCTTTGCACATTCCTGCTTTCTTCTTATCTAAAAATTAAATGTTCAAATTGGTTCCCTCTGTCCATAAGTGTAGCAAAATCAACATCATTAGCTCATTCGCGGGAACCCCACTGGTCCTCCTACTTTCCTCCTACTCTTTACTATCCACTCAGTCCTCATTTGCAAAAGCGTGCGTTCCGCGTCGTATCTTCTTGACTATGACCATGTCACTAGGCGACCACTCGAGCCACAACTTCGAGTGGTGCGATTTGAGTGCGAAACGGTGAAGAGCGGTTCTGATCAACTCGAAAAGCTAGTAAATTCAATGCCCTAAAGTTTTTGTTTTCGCGCACTAGGATCATCAAAATGGCCTAGAACAAAGAGCATTTGAAGGCAAAACTGCCAGTAAACAAAGCTTTTGAAGCCTTGATGCGGCTAAGTTTCCTAGCCTGTGTTTCATCTCCACACTTTTCAGGGATCTTTACGTGCACCAGAGACTACAGCGGCTCATTTTCGTAGGAACTATTCTTTGCGAACTAATGCTCAAAGTTTGGATGGTTTCCCAATGAAATCGGTAGGTAAATTGAAACACATATATCTGAAAGGTTTAGTATCTCTCTAACCTGTATATTTTGAGCTCTTTGAGCTTATTGTTGATCATGAGAGCTGCAAAATACTCCTGCTTATGTTTCCTTTCCTAGCTCTTGTGAGAAGCGAGTCGATATTTACTTTTCCGAAGCTATAAGAGAATAGCATGATTGTCGCACAAGTTGCTATGGTATATTTGAATCGTAGTAAACATTACGAATATAAGCTTTGCATCTCAAATATGCCGGTAAGCCGATTGCGTCAACCAGTTACGAACCTATAGCGAACCATTCACTTCTCGCGTGTACGTCATAGTTGGATGCCTGTTCACAACCTTCGCTTTGTCCCCTACAGCTATGCCGATACCGAATATTTTCGGGCGTTAACTAATAAAGTAAAAGATGATGTTAAAGAAGAACTTCTCACACGAGTTGAGCGAATGCGCCGCTTGCACTTGAACTTTCGCTTACGGCTGTATAGACCCTTGTCTTTGGTTTGTTATAATCTGAGAAATTGGTTAAATCTTCAATGTTTCAATAAAACGTTCAAATTTAGGCACTTGGAAAACAGTCTCTGCACAATGAACCTATATATGAGGGTGAAGAAGAAAACTCAACACAAGCACCAGTGCAGTTTCCCTCTAGCCCGATTTCATTTGACTACAGCAAAAGTCCGCCCATGCAAAACTCGGCAGCTTACAATAGTAAGTTTTATATGTCCGTTTCTTCTCCAGGTTTAGACCATTCGTTTGTCACACTCTTGACTTACCTTATTTTCTTTAGCCAGTGTGGTCCAACTTTTTTGGCTAAAGTGCTGATCTGTCCCTTTCGTATTGATTATCATCCCTTCATTTTTTTTCACAACCATATATCTTTTTCAGAACCAGCAGTCGCTCCTCCTGCTGATGTTTTCGACCTCATTCATATAACGCCTTCGACATCAATCTCTAACGACATAGTTAACTACGCTGTTGCTAATCCTCAACCTCAACCTCAATGGCCTATCCAACCCTCCCCTATGTTCAGTGCCGTACAGTCACCAACTGCGATGTTGAATGGAATAAATTCGACTCCTACAATGGGACAGATCAATGTCAATACAACTTGGTAAGAACACAATTTGGCATGAATTGAGAACAGTCTTTGGAAATTACTGTTCTTGTTCTATAGTAACTTTCTGAGTTGCAGATAGCTGCGCTCTTATTCGTGAATTAGCCCATAGGCATTGATTTTATATGTATAAGCGTAACCTTGGCAATAATAGGCTCTATCGCTGCTAAGTCACTTCTAATGCTTATCTGTTCTCATAGGGTATATCGGTAACACTAGGCCAATATTGGTCAATTTTGTGATATTGTGTCATCTTGGTTTACAATACTCGAAAAGACCGGCCATACTACTCCTGTGATTCCTGCCCCCGTGATTCCTGCGGGACCCGCAACAATGTATATTGAGAAAAACAATGTACACTGATATTCGCTAAGCGCTCCTAGTGAAGTGGAGTAATCAAAGGAGTTGCAGGAACTACAGGAATCGCAAGAGTTGCTTCCTGGAATGATATTGCCGGTCCCGAAGTTCCCCGGACCTATTTTTGGGATTGATGACTGCCATATATTTTTGGTTGCTGAAAGCACCAATCCTCCTTCCCTCTTGGGCTTTCGTAAATGCAAAGGATCCGTTATACTTCGCCGAAAAAAGCCCAGAGCTCAAAAAAGTCCAAGGGCGTCAGAAAAAGTCGGGAGCCCCCTCCCTCTCCTCCATTTGCGCCGGCGCTGAAGAGACAGGGGCAACATCTAACGCTACGGTCCCAATAGGAACTTCGAATACGCATTTTGCCGGCGCGAGGCTGTTTCGGCGCCGGCACAGGTCGGGGGGCGCTCTGGCTCTTTCTGCCGCTTTTGGGCCTTTTGGGCGTTTATAAGCGCTGCTGGACTTTTTTCGGCGAGCTATGAAGAACCCGTCATCACATCGCCGAAAAAAGACCAAAAGCGCCAGATAGGGGCCGGGACGCCACTTCCGCACGCAAGTTCTGGCGCTAAGGCATGTGTGCTGATCTCGCAACCGAGCCTTTTTGCTTTATTTTCTATCGTATGCACATCAAAACAATCTCAGAATACTACAAAAGTACATTTCGGCCTTCCGGCTCTTTCTGGCGGTTTTGGGCGGTTTTGGGCTTTTTTGGCGAAGTATGACGGGTCCCTTAGACACTATTATTTCTTCTGTTATAAATACAACATTTCCAGAATAATCCCAGAACAAATCTTATTTGTGAAAATCTTAGGACCGCTCCGACATCAACGTCGCAGTCATCATCGCGTTCGAAGGCAGACGAGTGGCTAGAAGATGTTTTCCGCACCTCTCTAACTATTAGCTCTCCTCCATTACCGGTGAGTTTTGTCTGCTTCTAATTTCGAACATTTGCCTTTCGCCCCAGATTCTTCGTGTTTTTTTTCTGGTTTTCCATTTCTGATCAAGATACTTTAGGTCTCCCCTAGCGAACACGCTAAGATATCTTCCCCGAATGATGCTCAGGATTGGCCTAGTGAGTTGGACAATTTCTTAAAACAAAACTTCCATCCTTCCATCCTCAAGCAATTCATAACTTATCGTCTTCACGCTGTGCATTGTATCAATCATATCGCATCAACCGATCTTGAGTCTGAACTGTCGCTAGCGACATCGTATCTCATGCTCTCTTTAGTATCGCGATTGAAATCGTGGCAGCCCACATGCATCGAACTGATTTGTATTTGATGTGAAACTCATGGATCTTTAGCATAATTCTTGCGGTTGCAGCGACGCCACCTCGTCCTACCGCCTACGATGCTCCGATAACAAGTGGTCCTCCTCCTGCTCAACCACCCCCTCCGCTTCCCACCAAACAAGTGGTGGTGAATGGGGTAAGTTAGTTTTTGGACTGCTACAGTGGAATTTGAAAGCTAGAATAGAATATAAGTTTTTATTCACTTTGCATCTGCTTATCTGCGAATGCTTTCAATATCATAGTTTGCCATGTGGAATTCGTAGCAGAAACATCACCGCTCAGCACGTTGTGGATATCAATTGCCTCATGTGCCTGTGCACTAGCAGTGTGCTTTAGTTTTCATACTCGCTATCCAATTGAGTTATTGATACTAGTTGGCTCTTTTTTGCACTTTTTAGTCCCTCAGTCGGATTGACACACAGTTGAAATTTATGAGCATTAGTCATTCTTTTCATTCTATGTACTTTGATTTGAATTTTTTCTATTCACTTTATATATCCTTTTTTATATTTCGACATACTTGATTGAAAAGTGTTATCATGTATGATCGTCTCCACGATTCGTGTAGAGGTGTATTGCACACTTTGCCTGATAACACAGGTAAACTTGTTAAACCTCCACGTCATAGCATTGTTCTTCGTACTCTCTCGCTAACAAAAACCGCCACGCTTTGAGTTGGCAAAACCCCGCCTCTACACGAATCGTGGAGTCGATGATACTTACTTATTTATTTCTTTTGAAGAAATAATGAAGGATCAAGTATAAGTGTAGTGGACATTTCTGCTTGGTCCTTCATTCTTCCTTCGGAACGCGCTGTCTTAAAATACAACAAATCCATGTGTTGATGCTAAATTATTGATTTTTTTCTAATTTTTGGAAAAACAAATGAGTTTGATTTTATTTTCATTTGTAGTCATTATCCGCGAGATCGGGTTTGGCAGTGGATGCTTTTGGACAGTCAGTAAACTGGGATGCCGTTCCTCCAGCTCCTGTAAAAGTCGAAGATCCATTCGACATTCAGTGGAGCCGGCTTGCTGCAAATTCGGCGATGGCATCCAATCCATTTCTCGCAGAGGTTCCACGGGAGCTTAGAATTTAGTTGAAGTGATAACGACTGACAGTACATTCGTCTTCAGAGAGTTCTATCTAACGTTTTTCAGTTTTGAAGTGTACTGCTACATATCTATTTTGTGAATACAACTTTGCTAATTGATTACGTAAGCAAAGCTTACGTTTTCCGTTGGATTTGAAGTGTCACTGAGCTCATTTTGAATGCGCGTTGTATTGTATCATAACTTGAAGTAATAAGTTTCACCATCTTCCAAAAAACCCTTATGATTTCAAGCCCATAGCCTGCAGATTCGTTTTTTTTTTTTGTTCGAAGTGTCTACAAACATTTTCATGCTGTTTTAGAAATTTGTTTTGGCGATAAACTAGAGCACTCTATTTCCGTCAGAGGCATTCTATAGTGCTTAGTTTTGAGTTTTATACCGGTAAAACTATAAACGAAGGGCATTGCCGCTATTTGTGTTGCAGTGTTGTCAATGCATTGTGACGGACATCTCCTTGAATGCTCTCAATAATGTACCATTTGTGTAATAAGTGATTTTCTTGCTCTCCCTATATGTGATAGTTTTGTCAATGAAATTCTCTGCAACGATGCATTGTTTATTGGAGACTCGTTAGCGTTTGGTTTATATGAAATGTGAGATATGGAGCGCAGGTATGGCTAGTTGGAGTCATGCTGCAGCTTGGCTTGGTCGGTGAGTTCCTTCTCGGTAAACACTCCAATTTGTTCACTAGAAGATTGAATCAGAAATTTGATTTTTGCTGAAGTTATGGAACATTTTTGTCTTATTGTGGATTCCTCTTTCTAGTTTGTTATTGAGGTGTATGAATTTTTGGGGATGTATGTCAAGAGGCGCGATTTTTATTGCCAGACGGACACCAATTAGCACATAAAAGGTGTTTCATAACTTTCTAAAACTATTCAAAATTTAGAAAGAGTCATATTAGATAGTTGCACGGGTTTTTCAATCTTGCTACCCTGAAATCATTTCAAGACAGCAATTTTGAAGGTCAAAAACCCACGAAAATGCAGTTAAGAACAAGTTCGTAAATGTTTCGGTCCGTTTACCAGCAAAAGCCGCCGAACTCAGCAGGTAGGCAAATAGTAAGCTAATGCACTTTATCTGATACTCTTTGAAAGCTCGCATGACATTAAAATGGGTTTTTAGTTAGTGACAGCCGCAGAAATCACGCCTCTTGACCGTCTCCCAATTTTTGGGATATGTAGCCGTTCTCCAAAAGTGCAACAAACTTTAGACATTATCACGGCTATAAGTTAGGAGAAGCAACACAGTACCAAATTACTTAAAGCGTCGTTAGATGCGCTGATTTGGTACGTTTCAATTCAGCGAGGCCAAAGCGTTCTTTCTGCATCTGCTGAATTCGAAAATTTGCAGGCGAATAATGAACTATCTCTGGTATAGTTTGAACAGAATGGGGACAGTAGATTCTAAGCGTTTGGGATTTGATGTTCGGAAGTATCTCGCTATTTTGAATTATCGTAAAATGATGAAGGTTATTTCCTTCCTTAATTTTTTGGACGCATGTAAGTAAATAATTCATTGATTGATACAGTCGTTGTGCTACAAATAGACTGGATCACCTAATGGTCGCATCGGTCATTTTGGTGTACAGGGTGCTCCAAAATAAGTGGCGTGTTTTTGGAGTGCCAAAAGAAGTGCATGACAGCGGATCAAGCATGCATTTGTTTTCACTAACGCTATCATCACAACAGTCACAAAATATGGCTGTATCATCCCTCTAAATATCTAAAAATCTCTTGTCAATCGAAGTATAATCTGTACGCAGGTTTATCTCTAAAATTTGAACAAATTTATACAATATCTTTATGAAAATCTTTTTTCTTCCTTTAAAGTTGATCAGCAAAGTAGAGCAAGTCTCCTCCTCTCACACTGGTAAATACGGAAACATAAATCTTCATTGATTTTGTAATTTTACAAAAAAATGCATGCGAAATAGCATATTGCAAAAATAGCGGTATTTTGGCCCTTTTGAGCAAGAGAATCAGAAAATGTCTGTGAATCAGTTTCGAAACCATCTCAATAAATCGGTCATGATAGATAGCCGTTTGCGTGTCTGATAAAGATAGGATTGTTTTTATTCAGGAATTTTTTCATATTTATGGTTTCATATTGATTTTTTATAAGTGAATAATTCGTGCGCTCGTACGTAGATACTTTTCGCAGATGCATATTCATATTTCGTGGAAGAGCAAGTTCTTGCAAATGCAAGTGGAACTGTGCGATAGAACAAAAGTTTACTCTGCAAAATCAATGTGGAATGAATTAGAAAGGACTTGAGTTCACTTATTTACGAAGCTATATACAATTGGAAACTTGTTATTCTACGACCTTTTCTCTGAAAATCATATTTTCAGAGATCTGTTCAACAAAACAAACCCCAGCCCCATACCTGTAATATTGGCAGAGTTAGCCCCCCCAACATGCATGCTCAGGCCGTAAAATCGGCTCCCCCAAAGTTGCCCCGTAATTCCCCCAAAAATCACGTTAGACACCTCTCTCATACCTATACACCCCTTATTTTTTTCAGCTTCTCAGAAGCAATACACACTGATATAGCGCGCTCGCTCCTCACTCTTGGCCTCGGCGCAGGAGGTTAAAATTGGAGGTTCTCGGATTGACTGCAAACTTCACTCATAGTAGTTTTTGGTCCCGATCTTTACGAAAATCCTATTTATTTTGCACCAGAGAGTCCTACAGTAAAGCTAAAGTGAGATAGAAGTAGCTGAACCAATCAAGATCACAACTTCGCCTAAACTTTTCGCCTACCTGTTGCGGAGATTGTCTGCAAATTTTTATGAGTTCAAGACTTTGTGAAAATTCTACCGGACCATGCTTAGCACAGATCTTTTCCTGCTGTTCGTAAAATTATGATGTTACAAAATCGACTTCTCATGTAGCGTCTCTCAATTTTAGAAGTCGTGTAATTTGGCAGATACCATATCCTACAGTGTGCCACCAGCACAAAACAATGTAAGAAGTGTTGTTAGCATAGCGTATAATACCGCTCACAGAATGTGCAAAATTTCCGTGAATGTCGCGAAATTCCCCGAAATTCCGAAAATTCCGCGAACTTACCGGAATTTCGCGACATTCACGGAAATTTTGCACATTCTGTGAGCGGTATTGTATGAAGGTTTAGAAAATCCACTTTTAGTTTTTTCGGAAACCATGAGCCTTATTCTTTTATTACCCACATTCTTTGTAAGAAGTATTTGTGAATTTTGTGGAATGTATTCAGGAGAACTTTGTGATTAGAGAAGAATCTTGAGCTCATATTTATCAATGGCTTTCTCGCGGCAGTTTTTCAAATCTCGGCGCCACTTATTTTGGCGCACCTGTGTATAGAAATGTTCGACTCGGGAAAGTTTTTATGCGCGAAATCAAACTGAAAATTATGCTTTCCTACTCAAAGGTATCGGGCCGTAATTTGCCTTTTTCCTCGATCTCAATTTCAGAGTACGCACTTACGCTGATGAAAACATCTGAAAACCTCTCATTCCTTCCCACAATGGTGGGAGCGAATGCTACAAGCAAGCAAAATCGGAGCTTAGGGAAACTTTCTCAGGTCTCCGCGACTATATATTTTCAGTTTGCTCTTGTGATTGCTATGATTTTTATGATTTCTGTATTCCTTGTAAGTTCTGTGATCTCTGTGTTCCAGTATTCTGGTTCGTGATTGCATGATTTCTAACTGATATCATCGTGAACCTCTGTTCTCCGTCATCCCGTCCCAATATTCCCATGCAGAAATCTCTGTGTTGTAATCGTGAGAGCTTTCTCACTCTGAATAACATTTTTTGGAGTAGCTGAATCGCGTACGCAGGGAGCCGCGAAAATCACAGTTATGTCAAAAAAGTAGCTGATTATAATGCATGTACAAGATCTGTGAGAAGAGTGAGAGAAGACCGAGTAGTTGAATGAGGAGGTTCAGTTACTCTGGGTTATCTAACAATATAATTTAAGCAGAATCTTGTTGACGAACGAAGTAAGAATTTTCTTCTTTGTCTTTTGTGTTTCTAGAAAATTTCAAGCTAGGAAGTGTCTCTTTTGATTTTCGATCACTAGAAATTTTTGAAGAGTCCAACAAGTGATATAATGTGTTGTTTTATAACCATTCATTTATAACCAAAGGAATTCCATATATTCAGTATCTTTACAAAGTGCTATGACTTCCAAATATTTTTCCTTGAATAGATTTTGTTCAAGATGAAGTTTCTAGCTTACATGGTAAAATGCTGCATAATTACATGCTCTCAAAAATTTTCATACAGTTTGGAAGGGTTAATTAGCAATTTATAGATGGATTTTTAAGAAGCAGGGGTCGTCAAAGGTGGCTTGCAAGCAGGTTGGATATCGTTTTTGGAACAAAAAGCAAAGCGGGTATGGTTTTTGAGGCCGAAAAGACGCAAAAATTGTGAAGTTTTTTGAGTCGACGTTTCGTTTTTGGGTTTTTTACGTTCAGAGTCAAAAAGTACTTCGAAAAAATTCGCGAAAGTTAAGAAGGACTTCGTTTTTTTGCATTTTCCAAAAGCCAACCCGTGCCGAGCCCTGTCTAGAAAATTTGGTAAAAGACTCCGTTTAAACCTAGTAAATGTTTTCATGCAACCGCAGTGGTTACCGTCTTGCTTACTAGATTATATCTCCGCAAACTTACCTTCCCAACCTTTACCTTTATCTTTATAGCGCGCACACTGACAGTTCCTGCTTCTTCACAAATAAATTATCTTTGAAAAAAATATATCCTCGTTGATAATAAGAATAGGTTCAAAGGAAAGGGTTTCTAATTAGGGTGATTAAAAAGTGTATGTAAGTGTATTTTGTTGAGTGTATGAGGTGCTATCATAGAACAAAGTGACATGTTTCAAAATAAAATTTGAAAAAAAAAACGTAATTTTATATATGAACTTATGATAGTTTGAAGGTGAGACGAGCACAGGCTCTAGTTTGTTGAAGCGGCAAAACGGAGAAGATCGAGCTTCATCTAGGATACACTAATTCTCGAATACATGGTCCACAGTTTCAACTTGCAGTCATAAATAATTGAAATCTTGAACTGGAAGTGTGATGAGCAACTCACGATTCTTTCTACCGAAATGATATTTACTTTTTTAGAATAATACATACAAACATCACTTTTCAGCTAACAAGTTAATTATCTTGAAGCAGATCAGTAAGTAGATCAAAAGCTCTCTTATCTTATCTTGCTGACACACTTGAAGCAATTCTGCAATCCTCCACTATTCTATTAATTAACAAAAAGAAGTTGTTGTTGATTCTTATCACTGATTTCACGTATTTTTAGTCCTATTCCTGCTGTTATCTGGGGGCCAAAGCACAGATTACAACAAAAAACTCGAGGATGTGCTCCTGAAAAACTATAACAGCCGTCATCGACCTGTCAAGAAAGAATCCACCACAGTTCAAGTCAGCGTCTATATGGGCATTAGTCATGTAGAGAAAGTCGTGAGTATAGCGTAAAAATGATGGAAAACCTTCCTAAAATTATCTCCTTTGTTTGGGATGAGCACGAGCAAACGATGCTTGTACACGGTCATCTGTGGGCCACATGGTTCGACGAATATATGGTTTGGAACCCAAAGGATTATAACGACACCGCAAAAATCAACATAGATTCTTGGAGGGTTTGGCAACCAGCTTTGGCGCTCTACAACAGGTAGCACTTTGTGTGTGTTATGTTTCATTTTATTCAGAAACTGCCGAAGTTGGAAGGTAGCACTTCGTTACATAGTTCTTGAGCTATAGTGGAATTCCAATTTTATTTCGAACTAATGAGATAAAATAATGAATTCAAGTGCCCTTTGTTCGCTGATAATCATGCCCATAAATTATTTCAAAAAAATTTTAGTGCTCGTGGCAACTCCTGGCATCTGTACATGCACGGCCTTCCTGCACTAGTCACAAGTTCTGGCAGAGTTTGGGCTAGTGGATCGTTCTCTTTCCACGTCACCTGCAGGTTCGACTTCTCAGACTGGCCTTACGATGAGCAGGTAGGGATTAACGACGTTAATGAACCCTCGCTTAAAACGCTGTTTAATTGGTTCTATGTTGTTGGTGCAAATAAATGGTGCAAAGAGACCGAAGAATTTCAAAAACATTGTTTCTCATTTCTTCGATTCTAATTGTCGTACAGAGTGCATTGGGACTGCTCCTGCATCAATATCTCAAATTATCTGAGTGATTCTCAATGGTTTTTTCAGCAACAATGGCACCAAACAATACTTCTTATGCTATTTACCTTTTGGTCCAATGAATGACTTCATCTTGAGTAATCTCAGAAATTGATGTTAGAAGCTTGCACTAATGAACGAACTCTGGTATACACGTTTTTGTGCAAGTACTAGTAGCAGTGATAATATATTACTCAAAGCTGAGCCCAACATCATCAGAATCTCGTGAACTTATTTTGAATTATTTTCAGTGGTAGTTTGTAGGACTGACTTTTCGGCGATTTAAGGGCTCCTTAACCCGATGAAAGAGCTCGTATTGCTATATACGGCGCACTATATATATCGCACAAATCAACAGCACATCCTGATCTTTTCGCTTTGCTTTTCCGTGTGTTACACTCGTCATAAGCTATCATTATCATCGATATTATCATTATCCGGTTGATGAGTAACCGTGAAATTTATCGCAGGCTTAGATTTCGAGCCCACAATTCTATATTGAGAATAATCCTACGTAAATGGGTCTCAGAGTCCAAACGTAATTGCTATTCTGAGGCAAGAGCGACGTGAGAAAATAACGTTTATGGATATCTATCCAAAATTTTTAATGATGGCACAGCTTCCTTCAAGTCGAAGGCTGACGAAAGTTTGAGTTAAGCGCTGTGGAAAGACTATAAAATCTGCTAAGCAACTTATATTTTTCGGTGCTCAAAATTCAATGCCGATGATAACATTACATAAGCAGCTATCTCCACTGCGAAACTACGATTCATTTCTCCTTTTCACAATATTACAAATTACGAGAACCCTACGTGACCGCTAACTACTACGAGGAACGTGGATAGCACCACTTAGGCGGTTGACCAGGGCAAGCTTTTAATAAAGAGGTAGGGGATGATGTGCGAATATGATGGGAATTTCACAGCGCTTCAAGAATATCACATGTGTTGTCCAAACTCGAGAACTGTAATTGTTAGTGTACCATACTCTTTGCACTAAAGTGTCTGATTTACTGGATTCTGAACATTTATTAAGGAATGTCCAATCGTGATAGCGGACTGGGTGTACGACTTGTCTCGAGTGAATCTATCGGATCCACAAGGGGATGCACCATGGAACAAGCCAAGCATTCGTTTGAACTATGACCCGATACGCCAGGATGAGAAGAAGCATGTGGCTGGTATGTTTTGCAATTGTCCTTTGTAGAGAGAGAGGAAGCTTCAAATCGACTTAAAAAAACTTAAATAGTTGAAACGGTATTTCCTACCTTTCAATGGTGACAAGAAGCTGATGGAATGTCTACTTCAGGAGTATATGCATTTTTGGGCTCTATTCCAGTATTCGGGCCCCAAAATTTTTTTCGCATGGATTTTGCTGAAACTTAGCCCACAGGGGTTATTCGGCCCGCTGATGCCAAATATCACATTGGTTTTGTACCATAGCGTCATTTTCTGAGTTACGGTAGGTACACCGTGACGGGTGGAAAACCTGCTACTGCCTGAATTGGGTGTACGGCGATTCGGACGATTGTGAAGCTTTGCACACACAACCACCGCTGCGCGCTACACACTCTGCTGCGGCTTTTGCCTAAGCAAACCACAGGGGAAAGATACATTTGCCAATCTGTGATTTTGACCCTTACCGTAAATCTGCCGTAACCATCCAGGGAGACGTTTTCGTGCGGAGAAAGTGTGATATTTCTAATCAGCATGTCGAATAAGCCCTCTGTTCGAGTTACAGCGGATTTTGAGATTTTGACCCCTCACCGTACACCTACCGTAACTCGAGAAAATGACCTGCGGTACAAAACCAATGTGATATTCAGCATCAGCAAACCGAATACCCCCCCCCCCCACTCCTGGGCCAAGTTTCAGCAAAATCCATGTCAAAAAAATTTTGGGGCCCGATACTGGATTAGCGCCCATTTTTGATTGGCAGCACAATTTTAAGTAATTATCTTAAACATTCCTAGCAAGCTGATGCTTGACAAATTTAGAGGATATCATATCCACCTTCAATCTACTAGCTTCTTTACTGATGAAGTTATGTAGTCACGTAGTTGCCCTCAGATGCTTTCCTTCTTTCAAAAGTGTGTGACCAATCTTAATACACCTTCTGCCTGACGAAATTTTTATTTTATACTAAAGATGAGCGAGAATTTTTTGCAGCTGAAGTAAGTTTTCCACCAGTCTCTTTTTGACGTAATAAACTGCTATGTTTTGCATGTTTTACTGCTCCAGCATCAACCAGATTTCACTTTATCCAGCTCATCAACAAATTCTCAATATACTCTCAGCCTTCTTGTTGATCTTCCTTTGACTCGCTTCCGAAAACACAAGCAGAATCTTGATACAGCACAAAAAGATGGACTAATAATGTGGTTGTGTAAAATCTAGCAAGTATCACAGCCGATTGAAACGCCATTCGAAACGATTGCTGAGAGAAGGTAATGAATCGTCGAAAAGAATATCTCTGTTGTCACTTCTTTTCACGGTGTGTTTGTCGGCTGGTGGAGTGCCAAACCTGAAAAAAAAACTCATTTCTGACGAGTAAATTGATATTGCTAGTCGCATTCGAATAGATTTTGAAGACCAAGCAACCAGCGAAAAATCGCATACGTACATCTCAGTGCTCATGTTTTGTATTTGTCATCATCTAAAATGACTTTCTTTGTTTTTCTGAAAACTCTCCGATAAGGTTGTTCTTCTTAGGAAACTCCCTTATTTTCATTGTTAAACCTAAGGGTTATCTTGATAGAGTCATATAACCTATCTAAACACGACAAAGGAGATAGGCATGGGCCATAAATGTCCACTGCCATTTTCTGGAAATATTCTATTTATAAATATGAAAGCATAATCTCTTCTGACGCAAGTGCGTAAACGTAAGAGAGTAATATTTGGGCAAAATGTCCAGTGAAGCGATAAAAGATAGTACTCCAACATTAAGAAAATACAATTCGAAGAAAATTGCGGAAGAGTACACGGTGTTTTTTGAAAAAATCATGAGTTTTTTTTCTGAAATTTAAGTTAGCGCGAATGCCAACCTTAACATTCTTACAAGGAAAGTATTGCTGCAAGGCAAATTTTCAATGCAAAATTTTTATTTCTTGCGTAATAATTGAAGAAAAACCCTGTTGATAAAGCAAGAGTAGAAAAATAGTCATATTCGATTTTTTTATTTGAATGGTCCATTTATACAATGATGACACCTCAATTGCACTACGCTTTCTTGAATTTTTGCTAAGACGATCCGGAACTTCCACAGAGTATTTACTGGTCTTCACGTTAGTACTGAGATTTGTGGCTGGAGTGATACATGTGGCATATCTCATATCTCATGTATAATTCAAGAGCACAACTGTTCTGGTTCCCGTCAACAAAAGCGCAAGAGACTAGGCGAGTTTGAAGAAAACATGTGATTGATGAAGGTGGGAATATCTGTGCAAGAACTACTGATTAAGTAGGCGTTAATGTTGGATTGAAGGGTGGCAGAAAGAAGGTTGATGATGTCTGCGATATATCCGATGCTCTTAGATAAATATGGCCATATCTTATGTGCTTAGATATGGTCATTCCGATCTTCATTTTTTTTTGTCTCGTGCTTATTTTGGAATGTCTTGATGGCAGGCGACAACTCAATAAGAGTGGGTGTGATTGCACGAAATTTATGCGCGATGCAATGCTGAGATTATTTTGATCGAGTACCCCATAATGCAGATTACGTGAAAAGCTTTCGAATCTGCACGTGTCCATCGAAATAGGGAAGGTTTATCCTTGAACGCACAGTTTTTGGTTATCTTTTTCTCCTATCATAAATCTTAAGCGATTCAATTTGGAGAGAATATCCTTACGGAGCCGCCTGATGAAATGCCAACTATTTTTTGTCTACACTGCTGTACCTTACCTCTTCTTCAAAAACGAAGCAGTATCTTAGCTTCAAATTATTAAGTATTTTGACAGTTTGCTGATAATAACCTACTACTTATATTCTTCTATGACGGCATAATTTGGTTAATATTGTGTTGTAAACATGTTGTAAACGCTCACTTCTGGCAAAGTTCGCTCACAGCTGTGCGAGACTACAGGTTATAAAAAAATGCTCTAGACTCTATGTCTGGCAGCTGAATGTTTTAGTCAAAATCACCTTCTTAGAACGAATAAGGAATCTCATAATTTTTCGTACAATATCGAACTTTAATAATGAACCTGTCTTCGCTATCTGCGGGCGAAAAATTGGCGCAGGGTTCAGATGATGGTAAGTACGATCCCTCAAGCAAAGAAATAATGCAGTGTAAGGGTGAGTGTATCAGACACAAAGTATCCTATGCATGAAGTGCCTTGATATTCCAATGCTGGACCATTTGAGCATCTCTTTTTGATTTTAGTCGCGCCTAGGACCAGTCGAGTCCGTTTCTGGACATTCTAAAAGCGAAGTTCCCTCTGATTTTCTCAAAATTTTGTGAAGTTTTCTTTCAATCTCATCGCAAACGTCAACTTAAGAAGACTTAACATGGCTTGTGTTTTTTCGAACCCAAAAACGATACCCCCTCTGTTTTTTCGTCCCGACGCAGTCCAGCTTGCTTCCAGACTTAGGCCCTGGTCGCGCTTCCAATTTATCAAAACAACCACGCTAGCAAGTCGGCGCCCAGAGGGCACATTAGATATCGAGAATAGATTTGGAATCAGTGTTTAGCTTCCTTCAGTATGAATTTTATCTAGAAAGCCTTTGACCATATCCTTTTCTCATAAGGAATCATCCACAGTACAATGCCTGCAATACTTAATCACCTAGGTTTATGGATGATTTTTTGTGCTTAGTTTTCTGTACATTGCTATCAAAGCAGGCCGCAGAAAGTCCTGATCCTTTTTTCAATTCATCTAACATAAGCTTCACGAGAAACATAAATGAGGACACTGTTCATCTAGTCGACGGATTTTTATAGCTTTTCAGGCTACGCAGCAATCGCAGAGACATAAAATTAATATGGCATATTTCTTGGCCCATTACACGGAATAGCCAAAACTCAAGCAGACTGAAGATGTGGGCGATTGCATCAGATATTTTCTGAACATTCCTAGGTCTAATGCATGAGCGGAGCGATTTTGATCAAAGATTTTGTCAAGGTCAAGAACTATCTGACACTCTATAGCTGCAAACATTCGCGTTTTCAGGTTGGCCGTTTCATGGTATATACCAATTAGATTGCTGCTGAAGCGTTTCCCGTTTTTGTATATCTGTACGATGGACGGCTTCTTTTTGGGTCGAATTTGTCAGAAAGGAGAAAAGCTTTCAGTTCACAATATAGACAAAGGGACCGTCCATGTTTCGGAGATTTACTTCGAGTATGGGTGAAATTAATCTACTCAAACTCCTAAGATGCTGCAATGCTGCTTTTTCAGTGTAAGACTGATAACGTAGGTATTATTTGACAAAATGTCAGTACTTGCGTAGTATAAGAGTTCTAGGTGTATTATTAGTAAGGTTACTTCAGAAGAAAGGTAGCCATTGTTTATATAAAGAGCTTGACGCATTATGTCGTTTGTGATGTTGATCTACCTACGAAATTAGGCTATTTAATTGTTCTAATTTTTGAGCTTTCCGGCTACTAGCTGCATCGAACCGCTGTGGTAGTTAGTAACTTCAAACCTTGACGTACACGTAGAAAAGTTTCAAAATTTTTTTCCGTATTTTGAGCATATTCTATAGACAACAATTGACAAATATCACCATCAAAACAAAAGCAGTGCTCCAAACTCCTGGAGCAATCTCAAGCAGACGCTTCATTCACTAAAGTACTCGCAATCATTTACGACACATTTAGCTTCGAAAGTAATTGACGACTTCAATCAGCTTGATTGACTTCAATCAGCTTCTTTAAGCAAAAGAAAAACTGTCTTTCACAACCGCTTTAGAGGTAATGCCTTACTGCATAGATTTTGTAAGAGAAGAACCTAGATGTGCGTTGATTTGTGATACTTTTGCGCGCCATTGCTTACAAGTATCGCAAATTTTCTCACTGATTTAGGGAATATGCAAGTTCAAATCTGCGTGGAAATTGTTTGAATGTAATGTACCGTCTGACGGGTCCTACTACCAAACAAAGTTTAAAAATCTGCACTTTAAGGACGTCTTACTCGCGCAAATGTTGTCAGTACCGCAGAGGCACCATAATCGAAAATTTCAGCCTGGAATATTATCCGCAAAATCAATACTTATAAATTTTGAAGCTTAGCTCAAAGTGTAGACTGTATTTGAGAGCCTCACAATCTGAGCACTTCTTTTCATAACTAAAATAAGTTCAAAACCTCATTTTCAAGTTGTCGGAGACTAGTTATACTTCTTCTTTATTTTTATGAAAAATTTCAGGAGGCATACAAACTTCTCTCTGCGCGAGTCTGGGAGGTCTACCCAGCGCTATTACCAATCTAAAATCTACAGGTAATCGCTGCTCGCATGTGAGGACAAAATATGCGTCTAAGGCAAGCACGTGAGAATTGATAGTCTATGCTAATGGCCAAAAGTCAGTCTTCCAGAAGAAGAGATAACAAAGCGCTGCGCTCTACGTTCCTTTTCGACGCGCACTACTCATGACTAATTGATTCGTCATACTTACCAAGCATGCTACCGCTCACTTTTTGAATGTGGGGCGTAACGCTTGTTCCCAAAGTGCAGCTAGCATCAGTTAGATTCTCAATGAGGGCATTGAGCATCCTACACAAAGCCAACGAGTTAAGGGAGTAGTCTCCTCACAAATTCATAAATAGGTAAAACCATGGAATAACGAATTTCCCCAAACGCGTTGGCATAGCCTCAGGACCCCTCAAATATCTGCACGTAAACCTTTTTTTATATGATGGTTGTTTCAATTTTAGGCACTAATTTTTGCGAAAGTTTGCGCATTGCTAAATTTTTCCCAATATTTTATAGGAGCATCTAACGATTTTTACAGATTTTCAAGAAAATCTTTTGGTGCTCTGCTGAGCAGAATTGTTTTACCAATAATATAAAGGCTATAGAATTTTATATATGCACTCTTAATTCAATGCAGATGTTGAAAGATTTCCTTCCCTAAACGATCTCGTATGCAAGCACTGTCAGTTTTTGAAACCATTCGCGAAATATTAGTGCTCAGAAACAATAGGTTTGAAGAATTTATTCACAGAAATAATTGCAAAAGAATGCCGAAGAGTTCAGGATTTTTTGTTGACTAGTAATATGGGAGAAACATATTAGTCACCTAACATTATTGGCTAAAGGTGCTGTGTAGTTGAGTACAACCATCCATTTTTTACAACTTGTGAACAGTTCCTTATTGAACGCAGATGCATGGTGGGAATAATACAATAGAGTTTCTCCCAGAATACATGTTCTTTCTTAATGCGCAAATAGAAAGCCTTGCTATAAATCATAGGAAAAATTCGATAATGTCACTGGAGATGATTTTTTTGACGCAGAATCAAAGAATGCTATCTAAATCGCATAAAAATAGCCATGATGTGAGATTGCGAGAGTTCCGGTTTCGCAATGTTAGGCACAGCATGTTCATCTACTTCATCCACTTTCTACTTCGAAACAAAATACAACATCAGATTTGTCATTTTCTGAAGTGGTCCAACTGGATTAGCGGCGATGTAGGCTTTTACAATCTAATAATATTTCGGGGTAAAACATCTCATATTGCTTTGCTTCACTTGGTTTAGCTTATACGGTGATTATGGGTAGCAGCATTGTGCGTCGTGATATTATAGGCAGGAGGTTCATTAACGTTTTATGTACTCGTATCACACTACAATTCTTTCCGTTTCCTGACCGAGAGGCACTCAAGGTGACTTCGCATTGTGACTAGGAGCCTGCGATCACTACAAACGGGTGAGAACAGAACTCGTCATTCTCATCAACTAGCAACTTTTTCATTGATATACATATGAGATGAGTATGAGAGATGAGTCTGACAGATCTTCAGGAAGGAAAGATGCCCCAAGACATCCAATGTCAACTACTGACTTTCGTCATTCCTGTATTGTGACTCTCGAAAACAAGTTAAACGGACTCACAAATCTTGATTGACGAGCTCGTAGGGCAAATCTCCAATATACAATCTTCCCACTTGGCCATCGGAACTGAAACACAATAGAACGGAACTTGTTAGGAACCTATAGAAGTTGATTCAAATTAAGCTGATGTCCCCTCAACTTTCTTTCCATGACTTGTTGCACGTGTGCGAACGCTTTATGGTTACCATATATGAGTAATGTTCAATTTGACTGATTACATAGGAATTATACACAATTTTCATTGAGCATTTTTGAGCTTCGAACAGAAAATAACATGCTTCGAATTGAGAACTCTGTGTGAAATGATAATAGAGTACGAGAGAAGCTTTTAAAGCTATCATTTTCTAAATTTGATTCAAGCAAAGCATAAGAAACGAATCTGCAAGGGAGAACTATCATTTAAGTAATGAGTATAGCACCTTGGAGCTATAGAACCGAAGCAAGAAGAGCAAAGCAGAAAGCGTTTTTATGTTGCACCGCAGCTTCAAATAACGGAACGATTTTTGTTGGGTCTTAACGGATGTACAGACGTTCGTTTCCAAAGAATTTATCACGGCTTGCTATCGCAAAGACTTTGCTTCAACTTATTTGCCGGAAGGAAAAGCCACTGGTTTGGTAACAGTACGTCACATAGCAATCTAGGAAACGATTCTAGAAAATGAAAGAGAAGAATATATGAATTTCGATTGCAATAAGATCCAGATTAGCTGCTATAGTCTAATTATCTTTTTCTTATTGAGCAAAATCTGTACTCATGAATGCCATGATTTTCAAAAAAACCTTTAGCAACAAAGAAATTTATGAGTTATTTTCGAAAATTGTAGGGTACATAAACTTGTCTACAGGGTGTCCTAGAAGTATGTGCACAGTGTTTGATCATTTATACTTTCTCATAATGTATTTCGTAGAGTTCTGGGTATCAGCTTGTAGAGACGATTACGGTACGATTACTCGTCGTTACCGTAATTGCAGTGGGAACTTCCGGCAAACTTTTGTGCGACTTAACCGCCATTTTAAAAATCTCCAAAAAAGATTTGTTAAGAAATTTTCACGTTGCTGCTTTCATGGATAGTTATGTATAACCTAAAAGTGTGAATGAGAAAGTGATACAAATTTGGAGTTCTGGTACTTGGAACGAGAAATGACTCTGTTTGAAAGCACTCGAAATTGCTGTGATTGTACTTTAATGAGAAGCTGGTGTTGATTTGTTCCATTATGCAAATCTAAGTTGGAGACAGCTCTCCAATTACTGCCCAAAAGACCGCGAAATACGTAAAGGTAAGAAATTTCTCATTGATCGAACAGTGATGTGTACTTTTGCGACACTCTGCCCAACTGACTCGATAGTTCAAAGCAGCCTTTCAGTATTTGACCAGGCATGAAGAGCACAAAAGTATAGTAAGTAGCGTTCTTCTTTCGAACTTATCCGAAAATCTGTCTTATCACAAGTTCTACAAGAAGCCTTTGGAAAACATGTGATTCTTCATACTGAAAGGTCGAAAACTCAACAAGTTCCGAAGACAAGAAACGAACGATAGGTTTGGGAATTCCTAATATTGGAAGTGGGGTAATGGATGTATGTCAGAATGCAATAAATTTTGAGTTTTTTCGTCGCACCTCATTTCAGACAAAACTGGCAGAGTATCTAATCTATATTTTGGATTTCAACCGTATGATTTTCCCATTTATGGTGGCTCTTTGATTCACAAACGATAAGGAGTTTGTAATTCATTTGTTTCTCTTTATTTTCTTTTTTTCATTAACTTGTTCAATCAAGAATTGTTGTTATAAGTGAGCTACTTAGCCGTGAAGTTTGGCTTTTCCATGCTACTAGACTACTTTTATTTTATCTCATACTATGCAAGCTGAACTCACTTTCGTGCTTGTCGTTGTAAGCAGTTCGCCACAGACACAGCTATGACCAGGAACGCCAAGAGTCTGAGAGCATCTGAGCCGCTTGGCAGCATTCCGAATACTGGACACTAGCAGGGCAACACACAATGCTCTTCCCCTCCTCGCGTTTCCATATCCTATCGCTCCGCCTACCCCAGAAAAAGCGAAGGCTACTTACGGCATTGGTAAAATAACGCTAAATTGCTCAAGATCTTTCCTGACATTTCTAATCCAAAGAAAGACATTTCTCACACTTGCGCATGAGCTCTTACATTTGTGCTTACAGTTTTCTCCAAAAAAAGCTTGTGTGAGTACATTATCGCACATTAACCTTAGAAATAATACGTAAAAGCTGCTGAGCAATAAGAACGACGAATTAGTATTTGAAAATTGCCATTACCCGATGGCGGCGATGGAGAATGTGACATATGCGCCTTTGTTTGGGCTAAAAATACAAGAGTAGGACCGCGTACAGTATGCTACCATAGTCTTAATTAGAACCCAAGCTCCCCCTTTTAGGAATCGTGTGTACACGAAACAAAGCAAAGCATTGAAACTTTTTTCGCTACTATTTCAGTGTTGTGTGTAAGACAACATGTTTCTTGTAGACTTGGGATCAAAACCAATGTTTAGTTCCTCTGTGAGCTTTGAAGCATAATTTTTGCGAAGTAACGTTCTTAGAGTCATAATCTCGACATGATTGAGTCGAAAAGCTCCCATAGGCAGTGCTCAGGCTAATTTGAGTACCGAGCTCAAGAGGAAGGTGTTTCATAAAAAAGAATGATCTATTTCCTACCTAGTATCGTACCTTTCCAAGCAAACCAGTTAGCTTTTTTCGAATACGATATTGGAGAGTGTAGCATGGAATTTCTTGGCTACAAGTGAACAATATGTATGACCTGCGCCTGGGATGAGTCAGTCGATATGCACATAGAAAGTCTATGTGCTTGAATTTCTCTGGACATCGTCTTTGTAAACGTCCTTTTTGTACATTCTGCTGTTCGCACTATAGATTTAGCATTCCTTCGCTCGTTTGCTTGATGATATACCGTATCTTCTGATTAAGCCGCCAATCCCGTCGATTCAAAGGGTACATGATGTGCAAAATTAATTATCCATTTACCTCACATTAATGACGCTTTTGCTCCGAATGTCTTTGCGTATGATATGATGAAGCTAGAGGATTTGAGAGAGTTAAAAGAACGAACTTCCATTCACAGCGTCGAACAGCGGCATTTGCAGGACCCCGGCGCATAGCGGTATACCTGTTGGTAGATAGATGAGAGTAGATGGCCACTGGACCTCAGAAACTTTGTACACTAATTGCAGAAACAAGTTCATTTTTATGCTAATTTTGAATTTTGTAAGGATGTGACCTCGAGTCATTTGTAACTTAATATGTGGGATTGCACACTAAGCCCTATTATCGACGTACCTTTACTAGAAACTTCCCAACTAAACATTTTCTAGCCTAACAAAATGTAGAAATGTGTTCCACTAACTAACATGTAGATAACTAAAACAAAAGAAACAAGGAAACAAGAAGAAATCACACAAAATGAGCAGGTTCTAGTCTCGCAGTTCGTCAGTTGGCGTGTATAGTGCGCACCACACATATTAAGTTACAAATGACTCGACGATATGTAATTTCCTGTATGGGCTTCTGAAGTGCAAGCAAAAAAAAACAATAATTTAAGAGTTTCTCAAGCTTGAAATTGAGGATGTTTGAGTATGCTGTTTTGAGAAGAGAGAGGGGAAATGTTGAAGTAAAGTGGAGGAGTTATCTTTTGTATCTTGGATGAATACATATTCAATGCATCTTCATGCACTCTGCTCATAGCTGTGGAGACGCATTCGTACTTAATTTCTTACAGCTCGATCAATTAGTTAGGTTTGTCAATTCAGATGATTTTGAGTCTTTTGCTTCGGCTTTCAATAGGGCATAGAAAAATGAGAAAAATGACTTGGGAGGGCATGAACCTGGAACATTATAGGTTTAACAATTTGGCTTTTTATCGATATGTACACCTTTGTACTACAAGTCCTTTCCGAGTATATGTGTTATTAGCTTCGTAAGCATAGTCCTCAGGTGATCGGCACTGTTAGCTGAGTATGCATTTTTCAGGATGGGAAGTCATGGATACGTGGAGGCGTCATTGCTACTGGGGACCAAGTGGTTGTAGGGAAGAGATTCCTGAGGGCCAGGTATTTTTGTTTGACACCTGAGATCAAAAACTTTCTTTCCTTATGTTGGTCTCTTCATTACACACGATTTTCCACATAAGATTCATTTTAAGTTATCAAATACATTCGCTTTGGTCTATGTCGATCATCTGTCATGATGTTTAAATGGTTTGACTATCGTATTGAGCATTTTTCTTCTTGGAAGTTGACTTCTACTTTTTCATCTAGGTGGACAGAACTTTAAGAACGGGAAAACTTTATATTTTTCGAGAATGTACAAGTCTCCCATTGCCTTCTTCAGAGCTGATTTTTCCATTCAATCCGATTTGCATTTTGTATTGGATAAGTTTGTCTGTTATGTTTTCTGCTCTCACTCGTCCGATGTGGGATTGCTACTGAATGCGTGCCCAATTAGTTTACATCTCAAGAAACAATCACCTAATGCCGACGTATCTACATTTTCATAATGAAATAATGAAATCAGACTCGAAATCATGAGAATCTAGATCAGATCATGAGGAAGCGCGGGCACCATCCGATTTACGTCAGAGTGCTTATCAGCGCTAAATTATTCTTGGAGAAGTTCCTCAGTGAAAATGTCAACCTCAGGATCGCTCTTAGATTCATTTTTCAAGGGTGAGGGAGAGGGATTAATAAGTTACGAGGTATGTTAAGTATGAAAAAATAGCCGAGAATAGCTGTAAAAACAGTGACAAGGGTATCTAAGGTTGACCCTCAAAAATATTCCGCGTATCTTTCTTATTTTCAGGTTCTGCTGCTCCTATGCGTTGGTCGTATAATGTAATAAATAATGAAATAAAATACTTGCATCGCTGCATAATCTTGCCCTCAAAATACATTTATAACCTCTTCTTTAATTAAGTCTGTTTTGAAAAATTTTAAAACACTTTTTGCAGCCTGAATGGTACTGGTCACTGCTGGAGTTTGGAGTGAAGTTGAAACGACATGCTCCCTATTTTGGTCTGACTATCTTTATGCCAACGGTAAGATGTGAATTTAAAAGCTTCTGTCACTTTTGGACTTTTATAAACAGAGTCAACTAATGGTAATGATCCTATTTACGCTAAGCTTTCATTTTGAACCATGGAAAACAGCTGTTAATTGTTAATAGCATCATTGGATGTCCGCCAGACATAATTATGTGTATAATTATAAGCGCAGTATGGAAGGAATTCTTTTTAAATTTTTGGGAAACAAAAATAAGGTTTCAGCTTACTTTCCTACCGCAAAAACTGAGATTTTTTTAGATCATAACCTGCTTACTGACGTTGTGCTCATTCTGGATTGATACACCAGCTATGGCTATTGCTCTTCTCATTTTCAACGTGCTTCTCCAAGGCCTATTTGGCTGGGATCTCATACGAGAGCTTCCTCCTGGCAGCGGGAGCGTCCCAAAAATAGGTGAGGGAATAGTTCCCACCTCACAGAACTCCTCTCCTCGTTAGCAAATGTCCAGCTTTTCAGTTTCCCTGTATGGATTCAACCTTTCCATGACCACAATAGCGTTCATGATCAACGTATTGGCACAGTTCTTTGAGTCTGTTCTGCCTGATGACCTGGAACTTCCTGAGAAGGTGCGAAAAAAGCTTTCTGTTTCAATTAATCTTGCAATTTAGGTCACTACGTTGCCGGAGAAGTTGCGTCTTGGACAGCTCTTCCAAGTGAAAGGACTGTCATTTGATCCACAATTGTAAGCTTTTAAGTAATTGTATTGGGAATGAATGAAGAGAGTAGGACTGAGAAAGCAGCACCAAAGAACGTTATCAAGTGATGTCACAGTATGGAACGAACGTTGTGAATTGAAAGGCGGCATTTCTGGTAGTAACTGCTATCCCAAATGCATCAAGAATGAGAACTATTGACTTAAGCATACATTTGCTTCACTTCTTCTTTTCGCTTCCAGCGCATACAGGATTGCAAGTTTACTTAAGTTTGTAAAGTCTTATCAATCGATACTTTTCGCAGCCGTTTCTAACTGTAATAGATCCTCAATTTTTACTAAAGCTTGAAACTGCAGAGAAGTCAGTGATCATCGAGCAATGTCGAAAATTTTTCCCAAATAAGCACAATCAGTGAAACATGATCGAATTTTTCTGAAATTGATTGAAACCAAAGTCAACTTCTTCCTTCTTTCTTCATAGCACTGCAGAAGGTCTATAACAAATCGTAGAATTATAATAATATTATGTTTTTATTTGCTACCAAAATGTATGAATTTCATAGAAAATAATTAAGCAAACTCAATGAGGAGACTTAGGGTTAGCATGCTTCAAATGCGATGAGCATTTCGAATATGTTTTGAAAACTTGGTTGAGGCCGTAGCCTTTAACTGAATGAATGTCCTTCCCTTCTTTTTCCAAATAAATTCTGCTACCAGCAGCACGTACTTCTTCAACATTAGACTGCCAGTTTGACTCCAGTTTTAGAGAATTAGCGTCTTATCTCAATATGCCTAGGCTGCTCAATTATAATCCCGAAGATGAAGAGGATCCAAGTGAGTTCAACTCTCCTCTTTGTTCCATTGAACCTACAAATGCCTTGGAAGAAGAGGAGCACAAAGCGGAGGAGAAACGTGAGGGGGACCACGAAACTCTTATACCCATGGAGAGCGCAAGTGAGTTACATTTCGCCTTAAGTCAAATCTTTCTGATTCTCAAAATTAGGCCCATCGACTGTGATCTCTCTGTCACCGGTGCCACCAAACACTCAGCCACCACCAGCCCCCGCAGACGACGAGGCTGTCATCACCAAGACTTCACAGTCCATCTATGTTGTGCGAAGACTATTCTTTTGCCTTTTCTTTTTTATGTACTTGATTGCGGTGCCTGTTTGCCTTATCTAATTCAATCTAATAAATCAGTGGTGTCTAGCTTTGTAACAGGCTGGAGAAAATCCAGTAGATCTCTGTTGGATCCGTGTTAAAGTCACAAAGTTCTGAGTATCTTTTTATAATGAAAAATATTAGGTTGACGCAAAGTTCTTGCTTGATCTGAACAAAACTCTATAACCTCCATACTAACCGATTTCACTGCTATGTTTTCTGATGATGGTGAAATGTTTGCGATCTGTGGTAGATGAGGCTCAACTTTCTACGATCTAGCTACCGAGGACGAAGCTTTCAAAAATGGCGTTTCAAAATTTGACTTCGATGCTAGAAAACTACGGAGAGCCGTAACCCCTAAGGATCTGTAAAAACTTCTTACAGAGCTTATCAAACGCAGTGTCGCTTGCGTCAGCATCTCCACTCCCGCGCTGGACTCTGCGTCTCTTCTGCGAACATGCTCTCTGATCACTTTCCCAGGGCGAGCGTAGGAAAGGCGAAGTCTCAATCGATTGGAATTGATTAGAGAACATGTTCGCGGAAGAGATGCAGAGTCTGCGCGGGAGTGGAGGTGCTGACGCAAGCGACACTGCGTTTGATAAGCCCTAAACATGGAATTTGTTCGTACCTTACTGTGGCATCTTTCAGTCTCGTATGAAAACGCAAAAGCAAAGAAATTTGCCGAAAATGTCGTTTCACATGAAAAATACTCTCATTGCCGTACTTCTTCACCAAAACACTGTGTGAAGCCCAAATGAAAACGTCACGGTCTTCTAAATGCTCTAAGTCACCATTTCTATGTACGCATTTCTAAAGCTGCCGCAGTTACGTATCGAAAATTGCTACGCAAAAAATTTTTCATAGATTTTTCGGGGCTAGTTAGAGGCCCTCCGCAATGATCTGCATCGAGCCCAAATTCGCAAGTTCTGACGCCATTTTTGGAAGCTTCAGTATTTTGTTTGAATTACCCAAGAACTTTTGCATCAACTCAATGGAAATATTTGTGTAATGTTTTGGTTTGCTTCCTTGGCCACAGCTTTGACTTTTGCTTTTTCATACCTAGTAATTGCTCTAGGATTTCAACAGCATATGCTTGAGGCTGCTTTTTATATTAAGAGCATTACATTAATGCTGCCATCAGATTGGAAACAATGTCTCAGGATAACTAGCGTACAGGATGATATTTCGAGTACGTGTAGCCTCGAAGATTAAAGTTTTTTTAAACTCAAAAGCAAATGCCATGTAGTACGTAGTTGCGAAGACAAGTGAGAGTCTTCTCCTCGACTCACTGTGTAGCATCGACAAAGATTGTTACACAAGTTTTGCAGGATTATGTAAATCTAAAGCATTTGATAATACTCGTTTTAGATGAGCGGAAAAAAACTTCAAAGCTGATATTATCTCTATGCAAGCAAGGCTTCAATCTGTATTGTACTTAGAAAACTCGGCATTTTAGTTTGAAGTTGATGCAGCTTAGTCTTATCGAAGTAATGGATTGATCTCTTTTGACGTAAACACAGTTTTATTGCATTAGAAAAGATCACGTTCTTCTCCCGGAAATATCGTTTCGAGATTGAGATATCCAAGATTAAATACTCGTCTTGCAATACCACCTGCAGAGATATACGAGTCCGGAATATAGAATTTCAGCTTCCTTTGTCCTGGCTAAAGACGAAAATATTAATTTACCAAAGATCTCTACCACATAAAACATACCAAAATTCCATCATCGCAGTCATGGTAGATCTTCAACACAGGGTCGATGTTGGTTAGCTCGCGTTCGGAACCATGAAATTTGTATTTAAGATTTGTTTGTGGGTTTAAGTTCAAGCATATAATAAGTATTATATATACTAGTGAACCACTAATCAAAGGTGCTAGGTTTGCACTTGCGCGCTTCTGGACCACACCGCGATTTCTCGCTATTGGGAGATTTTTGAATTGAGCTAACGATTCTTTTTATATTAGATTTGATTCATGTAGGAATAAAATTCATTTTATTATTTTATTTACGACACAAAAAGCTGAATTACAGAGAGCTAGTCATACAGTAAGAAATGGTTCAGAGCTCGCTAATTGCTGAACAGCCTCCTAGCTATGATAAGAATGCAGTTCTTACAAGGAGAAGATACGAGTAAATAATCTGGACTTCCAACAAATTTTGATTTTGTCACTTTTTGGAGAGGATCACAGCAGTGATTTGCAAAAAAATGGAAGCAACCTTAACGATTGAATTCACCTCAGTTACCCATACTAACATAGCTATCGCATAATCTACCAGTTCCTAGTCTAAATAAGCTAGTCTAGCTCGCCTGTAGGATTATCTTGGAAAATAGAATCGACCTTTCAGTAACACTCTAGGGCTTTGACAGGATCTCTAATAAAATCAGGACCACGCCAGATTTAGAAAGGAAATACGTGATAGTGCAAAGGCTTGAACATTTCAAAAAAAGCTCAAAGAATTTGTGCTATGGAAAAAGGATATGTAGAATATCGCAGACATGACATGAAGCATCGGGTTTAAAGAAACAGACACAGCGTGCATCTTACCTTAACTAGAAAAGCACCACTCTCATCTGTAAACTGCTCGTCGAGTACATCATCTGGATCTGGTCCTGAAGCGCAAGAAGTTGTTCTGTTGCAGTCATTCCAAACGTCTATGCATTACCAACCATCATCCTCATCCCAGAGCTTCACCTTCACTCCAGCTGCTGGTCTATTTCCACACATCAACCTACCACTGACGGCGACGGACTGTTGACGCATCGAATAGCAACATGAGATCAAAATCAGTACAAGTAATAATTGTGGTTCCATTTTGTACCTATCGATAGAAAATTGGTTTGAGGAGAGGTTTTGAAGGAGGCCGACGCCTAGAGCACTTCACTAAGTCTAATTGCAAAGTGCAAGAAATCTGGTACGAATTTGAAAAATTATATTTCGTAATAAACATCACCAAGGAAGCTTCAAGCAAATTCAGCAAACATGCGAGAGATTCTTAAAACTTCTCTGACTGCTTCACTGCTTTTTGTTCAAGCACATGCAACATCATATTGTCCAGTAAAGACGAGCCTCGAGCTGATTGATGGCTTGTGCACCTGTCATCAATACATAAAAGTAAGAAAAAACCATGCGAGTGTCTTCCAACGGGCGAAGTGAAAGACCTTGAAGCAGCTTCCTGGGATGACTTTGATGGATTAACCTTTTTTGAATTTGTCAGGTGATGCTGCTTAGAACAATGTTATGCGGGTAAATAACGTAGCGGCAGAGGGCAATTTGGGTGAGAGAGATCAAAGATTGTTTTTGAAGCCTGCATATTGAAATTCAGGGAGGTATTTAGTAGGTGACGAGGTGCTTGCGATAAATAATTATCTTGCCCAAATAAAAATGTTTACTCTGTTCGAGCTTCTCGGCTAATAAAATCAAATTTTACAGAACTTTGAATAAACTCACGAAACTAACAAGCTTGAATAAACTCGTACCAAATACGGATAAGTGATGGTTTCTTTCGTTTTTGGTTTCTTTCCAAGCTGTAGTCGCTACATCCCATCCAGCAGTTGCCCAATTCATCACTCTCAAAAATCAGAATCGATAAGCACAAACTCAAAGAAGGACAAAGCAGATGCTAAAATCTATATTAAGAGGTTTCGGTTTCGTCCAACTTTCGTTCTTCATAATTTTAAAACTTTACTTCCATATTTATTCTCAGGAACCAGTAATTACCAAACAACAGGCAAAAACTGCACCTTAATGATTTTGTCTTTTTGACAGCTCCAAGTAGATTCGTAGAAATGGCGAGAACCGATGAATTTCCATTTGAATTGCAAGAATTTTGTTCCAGCCCAATATTTTCCATGACTTTACAATGCCCAGCAGTTCTCTTGAAAAATGTACCTTTTTGCACCTTTCTCATATGACTACTTTTATAGAACATAATAGGATGTTTGAGTTTCCTTGGCCTTTTTGAGTTCCGCTGTAATTCATTCTTTTACAGACCGCTTTGTAGGTCTAGGTGAATGCTCAAGTCATATTCTTCTATAGGGCTTCAAATATTCTGCTGATAAACCTTCCAGGTGACATATAGAGATGGATTCAGTGCGCAGTGTGCCGTTCAAAGTGGTACTTTTGAAATAAACGTCGAGAATAACTTTATCTGTTCATGCAGGTTCATATTCAGGTAAAAAACAAGAATTGGAGCTGTTTATTGCTTCTAGATTTATTCGAATCGAGCGTATTTACATTCATTTCAGAAGGTCAAAAGACAAATTGAAACAAATCAGAGTAAATCCCTCTCCTCCTTGGCAAAAATTGTCTCCAAGTTGACTTCACCAAAGTCGAACATGCGCCGCGGTAGTCCCCCAGAGGATATGTAAGAGTCAGGAATTCGGAATTTAACTTTTCTTTGTCCGGGCTGCAATACGACTGTTTGATTGTGAAAATCTATCAAAGAGCAATGATGTACTTTGAGTCCATCATCGCAATCGTGGTAGACTTTGAATACAGGATCGATGTTGGTAAGTTCTCTAGTGGAGCCCTAAAAACATTATCAAAATAACTCGAACATCTCTAGAGCCTTCTCATTTCTTCTAAACTTTTTGTCCATACAAGTAAACTAGCGTCGAAATCGGATGTTTTTAACCAATATTCACTTAAGAGCCAGATATTTTGTGACCTTCATCTAGAAAAATCTATTACCTTCAAGCTGAATCTCCCATTAGCATCCGTGTAACCTTCGTCTAACAAATCATCAGGATCCATCCCTGTCGTTAGAAAGGTCCAACGCCAAAACTTCTCAAAAATGAAAACTTACCCTCATCTTCATCCCAGAGCTTCACTTTCACTCCAACAGCTGGCTTGTCCCCACATCTCAACCTTCCGCTGATCCCGACGGACTGCTGGCGCATTGCCAAGCAAAGGCAAAGTGCAGAAAGAAGTACGAGAAGGAGCTTCATTTAACAAACAACTGCAATGATGGGACGCATTGCAGGGAAATTCACTGCTTGTCAAATGGACATTTTTGACAATATAGAATGAAAGCACTTAGCGGACCACCATGATTTCAACAAAAAAATGCAGCTGCTTCTGCGAATAAATGACACGTAAGTTTCAGTGACTTACTCAATACCTCTTTCCAGCAACATTATCTCCGGCACCTTTCATTCGCAATTACGCTCTGCTGTTTTGCTTTCGCGAAATTCGTTTTGCATACTATAAATGGAGTTCTATATGCCTGCAGTATATCAAGGAGCATATAAAACTCTGACTTTTGCATCTAAGTCTAATAATCCTTCTTACTTATAGAATTACAAGCACGCCATATCAGTTTTTTAGAATTTAGTGCCGCCCTCTTTTGTTGAACAATAAGTTGGAAGCATGCTTGCCTGGTGTTAAGATTAAGATTTCTTGCTTTAGCAATCTCCTCTATGTTAGGATGGAAAGTTTTGTCGACCATCTTTGAAAGGTTATGAATTCTGTCTTTGACAGTGGTTTCCCTGGTAATTATTTTTTTTCAAAGTCGTATATCATCTGCTTTTCAATGGTACCTGTTTGCTGTCTAAAACACTCTGATTGTAAAGACAAGAATCAAAAAAGGAAATTTGAGGTTTGGTGATTTTCAGCAAGTCCGAAATATAACTAGGCGTATAAACCAGAGAGCCAGTAACATGAATATTTTGGCCTACTCTTTTTGAATAAGCAGCGTTTGTGGCGATTAGTCATGAACTTCGAGAAAACAGCACAAAACAGAAAAACCAATTTTTTGGCCCTACCAATTCCCAAGCTGGTGTGAGTTACTTTTTCCTTTTGTATCTCTACGAGCAGAGCTCACAAATATAACTTAATTCTCTCTTTCTGGTAAAGCTGATGTCAGGCAAAATCCTGTGGCAGAAAGAAATTATGGTTTTTTGAGAAAATGGTGCTACAGAATTGCTACTCTGTACAACCTAATTCCCTCCAAGAATAAGCGCGGTTCTCATCAAATTAGTTTGCTGTTGAACATCAAATGTTCATCAGTTTCATTCTTTCCCAGTTTCATTTTCAAATTTTATGTAGATATTGAGGTTTGTTTTCATGCACTACTATAGCGTTCGTACGGATTTTATGAAAGATTTCTGCATGAGGAAGATGCAGGAAGTACATGCAAAAATGCAGCGACACGACTGTTTTAGAATCAAAACGAAAAATGATGAATCGGTATGAACACTAATGATATAACGATTGTTTACAAAAATATTGATGATGACATAGCTGAAAACGAGATTGTGAAGAAACAAGTAATCAGTAGAAAGTTGGAAAGAAGCGATTCATATAGTGATCTGGCCGATGTCTCTTTTTCTAAGCAAAGCGCAACTGTTTATTCGCGTATGTTGCATTACAGAGTACACAAGGACTGATTGATAGAAGATTTCTGACGATTTGGCAGGTATTTATAAATCATTGGCGGTTGTAAAGCTGAATCCAAGCATATACAAGTCTGAGATAATCTACAGGAGATCTCGTTCTTCTTTGGGGAAAATTGTTTCTAAGTTGAGGACACCAATGTTGAATACACGTTTTGCTATGCTTCCAGCTGATATATAGGAGTCAGGAATACGGAACTTCACTTTGCGTTGACCGGGCTGGAAATTAAAGGTAAATATACGTTTTTGGTGTTTTCTCAATCAAACATATATGCAAGGTCCTAAGAATAGTAAAAATTACCTTAATACCATCGTCACAATCGTGATAAACTTTGAAGACGGGGTCGATGTTGGTAAGTTCCCTCTCGGTTCCCTAAAGGAATGCTTTTTGCTTATATTTCAAAATTTGAAAATGCACCATAATCGCACCTTCAAATGGAACTCTCCCATTGAATCGGTGTAGCCTTCATCTAGTACATCATCTGGATCGGGTCCTGTAAGGAGGTTGAACTTGAGTAAATTCTATGTAAAGACGAAATTTTTCTTCTTCTCTCTTCAGAAGAATTCGTCTAATGCTTTTCACTACTTTTGTAGAATTACAAAAACATCGAATCTGTCGCTGCTATACACTTGCCATCATCTTCATCCCACAGCTTGACTTTCACTCCTGCTGCTGGTCTGTTTCCGCACATCAGCTTTCCTTGGATAGCAACAGATTGTTGCCTCATTGCTAACGCACAGCCAAAAATGGCTAGCAAAACAATGTACTTCATGCCTGTAAAAATTCCTATTGAAGACTTGTTCAGCAAAAGGATGATTACAGGTCTAAGAATCTGGATCCAGTACGAATGAATCCTTCAGATAAATTGCAAAGGATAGGCAAGGAGAGAGACGGCTAATTAATCACTGGTACATAGCTGAGTGTTAAAATACATACAAATGCGTAGGGGAACTTGGCCATGGAATCTGACCTACCACTCAAAAGAGCCAAATTAATTTTTTTGGTTACTCACTACATCAACGTTAGCTGTACCAAGCTACTAGAAATTCCTCGACTCTTGTTCAACCAAATTGACGCCTTCCAAGTGATGGACATTCAGCTTATACTGCTTCGATTAGATAATATTGCCAGGGTCTCGCCTCTGCTCTGTCCGATGGGAATCAAAAGACAAACAAACACAGTAAGACAATCGTTGATGGCATCATATTTTGGAATTTTTCGCCTGTAGTTGGAAATGAAGCTATAGGTATTAACCAAACGGTCAAATAAACTATCTTGCAATTCTCAGTTATTGTATTTGCGTATGCATTTAATAGAAATTGATCTCCTAGCGCACATTTCCGCGGAGGAGGAAAAATGAGGGGGAGGGAGGAAGAACGTGAGATAGATAATCAACAATCCATATTGACTCTGTTGAAGATTACGGAAAAAGACTTGGTACTTGCTTAAGTGTTTCGACCGCAGGCAAATTTAGCGGAGCAGCTCAAGTTCCCAGCTAATTATGTGTATATGTATCAATATGAATAAACACCATGTGCAGGAAATTATATCTCAATCTATGTGGCAATCCACAAATGACACAAGCAGCATTCGATTCTGAAAAACGATCAAACGCGGTGTATGAATTGACTGCGAGGCAAGTGCGTCGTTTTTAGTCACTGCAACAGTTGCGCTAGCGGACAAGACATTAATCTTATGGGAATGTAGATGAGCAAAGATAATCAGCACAAGCATGTCGATTTCACTAGCATATAGGAGTTTCGAAATTTTACGGAAAAAGTTGAATAAGACAACGTAATGTGCAAGCGTAAATAAACTCAGCGCAGAATTTCCTTGTAGAAGCATGAAAACTGCTCATGATAAAATACAAATACAGTTTGGAGCAAGCAGCTTCTTGTTATTCTTATAGAAGAAAGTGAGGCAAGAGACACCACTCTCCTTGGCTGAGGTAGATTACAGTCGTACTCAAACTATATATATTACAAGTCGTCCTCGTCCGCGGCAAAATTGGTGGCACTAGAGTCCAAATTGTGAAGATAAGTCATGTCTTATTGGCTAAGTAGTTGCTCTTACACGTAGTATGACCTCCTCAAAGAACATTCTTGTTTTGGTTTATACAGTCATTACAAAGAGAAAAAATAGACTTCATAAAGGGAGGGTATAAATCCTGTAAACATAACTTGTTAGGTGGATAAAGCTGACAGCAGAACTTCTTTGGTCAAAATCACTTCGATATTCACTATATTCATCTATTAAATAGAAAAATACCAGAATGTATGTATGTATGTATCAAAATTTCGCCAAAAGGAGGTATGGTTAGTTTATGTAAGTACTTTATCACGTTTTCGAGTTCGTTTTTCCGAACTTGAAACTCTTTTCTATCTAACAATTTTTTCAAGACTAGTTTTGCACACTGCTCGAAAGCTTCTTTCATTTTAATAACTGTTGGAACAGGCACCTATTAGCGTCCGAAAATTAATGTCCGTTTTGAATTTCAAGCGCAATAAGCCATACACATCTCATTTCTAAATAGGTTGCAAGGTGTCAATCTATAGAGCAAAGCAAGCACTACAGGATGGCGATCTTGCTTTCGCAACTTCTCTCATTAAAACCTTGAGTTTCGAGCCAAAAACCAAATGATTCAGCTGCACGAAAAAATAAAGAAAATTGTAACTCAGTTCATGAGAGTCCCACATTCTAACTTGCTCACGTAAACACTATCCACAATAAAACATCTATATACGCCGTTGCCGTGTTTTCTCACCTTTTAGAAATCAAACAAAAAACGGAAATTTTCGTGCATTTTCCAAAGTGATGCTCTGCAGTCCCCATGTGAGTAGTTGTATGCTACAAACCTGTACAAGTACAAATGTAATTTTTCAGCTCTCTATATGTTTTAGTTCTCAAGAAATTCGAATTTTGGCTAGGACCGCCTGTATAGGGGAAGTCATATTCGAAATTTCTCGAGAACCAAAGCCTATAGAAAGCTGAAAATTTACGTTTGTACCTCTACATTTTTGTGATATACAACTATTCATGTGGGGACGGCCCAGCATCACTTTGGCAAATGCACGAAAATTTCCGATTTCTTGATTTCTAAAAGGTAAAAAAAGGCGGCAATGGCGCATGTAGATGTCTCGTGTGGATAGTGTCTGTTAGCAAGTGAGAATTTTTGCAGGATTTTTATGAACTGAATTACGATTTTTTTTCAATTTTTCGTGCAGCTGAATCATTTTAGTTTTTAGTTCAAAACTCAAGGTTATGAGACCCGTTACAAAAGCAAGATAGCCATCTTGTAGAGCTTGCTTTGCTCTATCGAAAGATATCTTGCAACCTATTCAGAAATGAGAGATATTACCTATTGTGGTGAAATTCAAAATGGACATTGCTTTCCGAACAACCTAATAGCTGTATTTGTTAAAACTCTACAGATTTTCAGAAGACTCAAAGCCGAAAATTTGCTGCATTCAGTTGCTTGACCTCATTGAGAACGAAGAAATGCATTATGATTATAGCTATCGAATGTGATAAAAATACCATACATTTCGCACAATTAACCAAGCTGTTCAAAAATCACGGCTTAATTATATCAGATTGGCACGAAAGTCTTTGCATAATTAAAACAAAATGCAATAACTTTCCAAATACTGGACCTAAATCCATAGCTGATGTTTCAAAAATAGTAGAAAGTTTGCGCTCCATAAAAAATGTTCAAGGATATCATTCCGTAGATTAGCCACCGGAAGCTTTCAGATGAGGCGTTTCAAATTTGACGATTTTGAGTCTGTTGCCAGAAAATCACGGAAAGACTCTAGCCAGCCTAAAAGCATTTGTAAAGATTTTTTACACAACAGAAGTTATACACCACTGCGCCAGTTTCCTTGTAAGGTACGTAATGCAAAAACAGACATGAGGAAAAAATCGTTGTGCAGAAAAAAATCAACTTGTTTCTGCACTTTTTTGAGAAAAACTCCTTTCGACTCCCCAGAAAAACGCCACTGTATTTCAAAAAAACACTAGGTCTGACTTCTGATTTTAAACTGTTTCTATGAGAAAAATGCAGCGATAATGGTAATGTTCTTGTAAAATGACATTTCTCAAAAGTTTTTTGTTCCTGCATTTGCTTGCGATATTGAAGTCTGCCAAAGTGATATATAGGCTTTTGATTTGTAGAAACACTTTCATAGAATTTTTGAATTTTGCTGATATTCTTCCGCGATGTCCTGGCAGCAAACTCAAATCGCAAAATTTGAAACGCCATTTTTGAAAGCTTCGTTCTCGGTGGCTAGTTCGTAAATTGGTATGCTCAAATATCATTTATGGAGCACAAACCTTCTTCTGTTTTTCTGTTACAAAAATGTGAATTTAGGTCCAGTAATCGAAAAGTCGAATTTCGTCTAAATAGAACTTTTACGCCAACTTAACAGTCGTTGAGGTTATTTTTTCCCAGATCTCCAAAGAAGAAGGCAATCGACAAAGCCTCGCTCATTTTTATAAGCGTAGAAACCGAGCATCCTGGTAACTCCTTTTGCAAAGATTCTAGCTGTTCATGCGCAACGAAGTATAGGAATTTGTACCTATCCATTTGTGTCTATCTATTGTATCTCGTCACCTTTCAAGCACTTTCTATAATCTCGTCGATTCCTTTTTATTTTTCCTTTTTCAACGCAGTCTCCTTTCTTTTCTCGATGCTTTTGCAGGAGCACACAGTTCCAGTTCAATGAATTATAGCCGTCATTTATAGTTGGAGAAGATATTTGCATTTTGTTTCCAGTCTTTATCCGTTTACGAAAACGCTGAGGTGAGTTTTCTTGATGTCATAAATCGCGTTTCTTCCGTATAAGCGAACTTCATCCCTATAGGTTTGGCGTGTACCAAGTGAATTAGGGTAGACGAATTGTGTGGAATATTTATTCACACTGGCGTAGATTAGTTGAGAGCGAATACGAGGTGTCCCGGTGTGGACCGGGGAGCAACCTCTAATACATTCGGAGGCTCCTTATATACGAGGGAAGGTGGAGCTGAACCGAATACAGGGTACAATGTACACGAGTTGGTGCTTGAAAGGAGATGCCGCCAATTGGCTACACTTCTGGCGCACGGGTACCACTCACTCTTGAGTGATTAGATACTCAAGAGTGAGTAGCTCACCATTTAGCCTACGGGGACTCCGTAGGTCATGCGGAATATAGAGTTCATCAATGGTTGATGATACAGAAATCATCAACAATAGGGTGCGTAAAAAGCTGTTCCCCAGTTTGTCTTCTGAAACATCTCATGGATAAAGGAACCATATTTTTGATTTTTACCCGAAGCCAGACTCTGGAGATTCGAGCAGAATGAGTTTGATTTCAAAGGTCTTCAATCCCTTAAAAAGAGTGATAACAGCGAGCAGGATCATCGACGATGCGGTTTGAGTACGATTTTAGATCGTGATTATACGATCAACAGTGACATAAACTTCAAATCAAACTAGTACGTAAAGCATAATTTCTACTCCCGTTCTATACTTACTATAGATCATTGACTTGAGATTTTGGCTGAACAAGAAAAACTTCACCTCAGGCGAATCGCAAGTTTTTTTGAAAAGGGCTGGTCTTAACTTCCCTTGCTTAATGAATGAAATCCATACTATGGCTTAAAATTGAAATTTCCGAGGAAAAGTAACAGGAATAATGGAAAGAACACGGGGCTTTGTCTGCATAAAGAAGGGTTAATTCGATTGTG